AACCTCTTCCAACCTGCATTTTCAATTTTTTGCATCAATATCTTCATAATACTTTGACATTTTAAAAACTTAGATTCAATATTTACACTGTTGTTTACCACTTTTACATCTGGACTGAATGTGATTCCTAATACTTTAATAGAGTTTTCAGAGTTTGATTTACATGACTTTACCAAGAGTATCTTTCTGTAAGTGATATAACAATCAATAAATCTCAAATTCGGCAGTAAAGTTCTTCTAAATATACACATCACAGTTATGGTACCATTGGAAGCAATGTCAGACTTTCATATCCACCTATTGTTAGTGTTGAATTTGAGGGTATAAATGTTTATTTGTTCTGCTTTTAAAAAGATATACATTTTGAGTGTAACTTTTTCATTTATTTTCCATTGATGTGATTAGTACCAAATGAAATATGTATAATTAATATGCAAATTAGCTAATTTGTGTATTTATTTTGATGTCATAACTTGTGGACATTGAACAACATATTTCACTTTACATAGAATGATATAGTGCAGATGGAAACCATTGTATGACACTCTAATTTCATATGTATTCGAAATATGGGCAAATAAAAAGATATATCAACGATTGTCATATCATTTCTAAAGTAACTGTATAACAGTTCTGCTCATCAGAAGAAAATACATTTTTCATCAGACCTTCCAACCTACTATTACACATATTTATGAGAAACTACAGTAAAGTTTTCATTATCCCACCGAATGAAGTTTGATATAGAGAGGCCACCTACGTGCAGTCTCAAGTCTGTGGACCCTGAAGAAATAAAAATGACATCACAATCAAGTCCATCAATTTGCCTTGTGTCCAGGCGATAACTCAAATACAGGTTGACAAATTTGATTCAAATTTTATAGGCTTGTGTCGTATGGGTGTGGGACCTCTGCTCGAGAGGGAATTTTCAATATGGCTGGTCAATTCAAAATGGCCACCATTTTTTGTAAAGAATGTAATGTTTAGTAACTCGAATACTAGTTGAGAGATTTTCTTCAAATTTTATATACTGATGCTGACTAATTTCAGAAAATAATGACATTTCGACATTTTTATTGTTGGAAAATATTGAGTTTCGAACCTGGGAGCCAATCCTCCTTGGTATCTAAAGGTTAAATATTCACATCTTCTAAAATCTCATTAAAAACTTCAATAAGATTTCAAAGCTATTTAGCAAACCCTCCATTAGATTAGATTTTGTTGGAATTTTGAGGAAACTCCTACTGTGTTTCATGAGCATAATTTGGGTTTATTTGTGAGTTTCTGCTAACATTTTGAAGTTATTGACTTGATGTATCTTTGGAGCAAAAGAACGAACTTGTGATGCTATTGGCATTCGGTAAGTTGTAATGGGTTGTAATGGGATTGCCGTGGAGAATCCATATAAATGACATCATAACCGGAAGTGATAGTGATCACACAATCTATTGACTTATTGAGCAATTGATAGACCCCATCTCAGCAATTGGTACATAAGGTTCAAGATGGCTTACTGTAGGCAGCAACGTTTATGCGCTCCTAGATAAGTGGATAATTTCGGTGACTTAAGAATGAATTAAGTGAAGAAAGTTGGCCCAGCACTTAGATAACATTGTTGGAGTGAACCTGGCCAAAGATTTTTGTACCTCACAAGAAAGGGAAGGTAGGATTCATTGAGACAACTGATGTGGGAACTTTGACTTAAGTGGTGACCTCTATTTTTGCATGACATGAATATACGTTAAATAACTTCCAGTGAGTTGCTGATAATAGTGTTTGGTGATATGGAGGGTTATTTTGTTTGCTGATTGAGGGTTTGAGGGATTTGTAGACACAATTTCACCCCCCCCCCCCCTTGTCAGCTGTTGCATTGTGCCATGTCACGTGATTAGTCATGTGATCTTATCCAAGTCTTTACATCAGTCATCGTTTGATCAAAGGAGCACTCTCATGTTCATAGCCTAAGGAAGCTTCCCAGGTATCAGGCAGTCTTAATCATCCATTGAGAAGACACATTGGTTGGAGCTAAGAGAGTCTGGCGTAGGAAGATCTTCTGAGGCAGAGGTCCCTCGTGGCAAAGACCTCCTTGAGTGGGAGACAGTCCTCCTGGAGAAGAGAGACCTCCTAGAAGTGGCAAAGACCTCCTTGAGTTGGAGAGAGTCCTCCTGGAGAAGAGGAGAGACCTCCTAGAAGTGGCAAAGACCTCCTTGAGTTGGAGAGAGTCTTCCTGGAGAGGAATGACCTCCTAGAAGTGGCAAAGACCTCCTGGAGTTGGTGACAGACCTCCTGGAGATGTCTGGAGGAAACCCAGAGGAGAAGTATCTGGAGTCAGAGTTTGGAGGAAACCTAGAGAAGAAGTGCCCTGAGTGAGAGTCCAGAGGAGAAGTAAAGGAGAAGTGCTCAAAGTGAGAGTCTGGAGAAGTAAAGTAGAGTTATCCGGAGTGAGAGTCTGGAGAAGTGGAGAGGATATAGCAGGAGCAGAGAGAGATGGAGTCATGCTACCACAACTTTTTATTAGATAGACATTTGATTTAGCTTTGAAATTATAAAGACAATTTAATAGAGACATTTGCTTATTATTGATTACAGAGATGATTTGAGATCATACAGACATTTTGTTATTTACTGTTATTATTTATTGTTAATATATGTGCTAAATTTACATCCATTCTTGTGTGTTTCTTCATCCAACTGTACCTCCAGACCACCAAACCAGGTCTGGGCCAGGGCCCACAAGAGAGTTTCTAGTTCGGCCAAGGGAAAAATCAATACCCGGTGATTTCAGCGGGAAGTGGCGTTTCGTTCAGTGGATGAGCTGCGCATACACACATAAATGTGATTATCCAATATTATTACTGTAGGCTATCAAGCACAGTGACCTACAGAGGGCGCTATCACAAACAAGTACTGCACAAACCGATAAATTCCCGGGTATTGTAACGCCCTTGGTTCGGCCAAAGTTCCGATAATATCTAATATATTGTGATTGTCTTGGGCTAATGAGCATGCATTTTTACAGGCACCACTACAATCTTGTCATCAAAATTTCAGAAAAAACATTATCCATGATGGATAACTTTATTTGCAAGAACAGACTTAATGCCAAGATCTGAATGGGTTTTGAGCATACTGGGTCTTTATTTATTATCTCACTTTAAAATATGCTTGCAACACATGTAAATTGATTGCACTAAAACAGTGTATCTCATATGTGCACTTTAAATAAGACATTTGCAGGCCTGTCAACTGTCCCGCAATTTGCGTATTTGTCACGCATTTGCTGAAGAATTTGAAGTCACGCCAGTTTTTTTTGCGTGACAGAAAATGTCACGCAAATACGCATATTACCTGGTAATTGTCACGCAAAAATATTTCTGTAGAATTTTTTTCGAAATATGTTTATGATACGGTAAAAATACGAACGTCGGAAAAAAAAACGAACGCAATTTGTTCGGATTTGTCACGCGAATCCCGTATATGTCACGCATGTTCATTGGAAATTTTCGTACCTCCCCCCCCCCCCCCCCCCCCCCCCCCCATTGACCATATCGCGAGCGTAGCGCGCGCGAAAAATTTGAGGTGATCAAACTTTGGCAAAGGTGCTCAAACTTTGGCCAAAGGTGTTTAAAAGTTGGCCAAAGGTGTTCAAAATTTGGACAAAAGTGTTCAGATTTGGACTTAGGTGTCCAACATTTTGAAGTCACTCATATTAGGTGGTCCCAAGTTGACAGCCCTGCATTTGGCGTATGTAGGACAACTGTGACTGTTGGATTTATTCCTAATTAGGAAAACTGCAATATTGGTGTCAGTCCTATTTCCTTTATTGCTGGATCCATTGTTGTAACTGTAGAACTCTATAACATATTAGTCAGATGACAATAGACTAAGGAATGCTTAACTTTGATTAATCTTTTGTCAAATGTAATTCAGGAATCTTGTATTGTATTAGAGCTTTTATTAAAGATTGTTTAATTAACTCTAACCTTTAATTCAACTTGTGCCTATTGTTTATTGGCTCACTTGGTGTCCGTCTAATAGTCCATCCATCCGTCAACACTAGTCGCACAATTTAAAACTGCTATTCTTATTGAGTCATATTTACATACATTTTATGCATATCCATAATGCCTATTTGACCTGTCATCACCATTTCCCAAGTTCCCGAAAAATTGCTGATTTTGACGTATAAAAGTCAAATTTTCTGTAAATACCAGACACTTTGCTAAAGTAGAACTTTCAAATAACTTGTAGTAGTTGCTATATGTGCAATATATAGTATGTCCTCTGGAGATTTCAAAGTTCTTTTTCAGGGAACTTTCCTCATGTATAAAGTCAATGGCAGGTATTGTGATTGACACGTTTCTCAAAGTTTGTCCTTATGTTAGCATATACAAAAAATGAAGTTATTTCTTGCATTAAATTGTAACAAGATTTAAGTATTCTCTTCAAATTGCTCAATATATGTCAACATAAAATTTTTACCGATTTTGAGATATTTGCACGTAAAAAATGGTAAAATTCATTGTTTTTCAACTTGCCTTAAAGTTCAAGACTACAAATCAATATTTGGGTTGAAAGTCAGGATATACATTCCTCTAAAGATTCTATGGTGTGTGAGCGTCGGGGCCTTGGGTCCTTAATTTACTTTAGTTGGTATTGTTAAGCTTTTATATTAAAAACTGTTCACATCAAACATGAATGATCAGCCATTGTTACTGTCAGTCTTGTATTGAGTTAAGTACTAAAAAAAGAAAAAATCCACAACAAACATGGATAGATGTAGTCTTACAGTTAAAAACATGGATAGATATATCTTACAGTTGATAACAAAAACATGGATATTTTAGTGAAAATATATGTGTCCATCATCAGAAAAAACTATGTCATGATGTCATATTCAAAATCACTGTAACAAGGAGAAAAGGTTATTATTTGATTGTTTATGAGGATTAGGATTGTTGATTTTTTTCTAATGTTGCTCTTTGTGTTGTCTTTTTTAGGACTGTGCGCCATCTATACTGCCAGTGGAACATATACTACGGGAGAATAATGTTCCTTACACAGAGGACTCTTATAAATATCATACTGCAGGTACAATATTTTTAGTTAAGATACTTATCATCCCAACGAACGAAGTTTGGTAGGGATATAGTGAAGCCATCCGTCCAGAAGACTCAAATACTTTTTTTCAAGATGGCCGCCTCTTAAAAATGGCTGGAATTTTTCTGAAAATTTTAAGTTTTACATTTTAAACCAAAGTAATAATTATTATTCTTTGGAATTTTGGTAGTACTATACTGACAACATCTATCCTTTTCACATATGTTCTGTGTTTTTCAGCCTAAACCCCAGGGGTTGTGTTCGAGGGGTCGGGGAAAAATACATCTTTCTGAAGTTTAGCTTTACTATGCTCAAATGAAAGGCAATTCAGAATAGATTGCAAATATTGTATCATTTTTTCTGATTCTGGCCTTGTAAAATTCAAAATGGCCGTCTAATGTCGGATCTCGCAATAATTTTCCGATCTCTTCAAAGTTGATGGCTGTATTAATTGGTCACCCATTTACTTAAATCAGTGAACATTCTGATGTATCTCTTATGTCTTAATATCTGCCAATTTAATCATGAGTTGATTAGGTGGGAAATACAGTATTATATTGGAATCGTGACATCTACAGCTTAATGAATGTAGTGTTTGTTGGGCCGGATTCCTTACTTCGTAGAGATGCTGATTTCTAATTATTGGAGATATGTGTCACAATAATGATGACATGAAATGGGAAAATTGAACATTTTGAAATTGTTGAAACTAGGAGAGTGGAGATTATACTGCCATCTTTAAATCATCATAAAAATAAACTCTATTTACATGTACATTATGATATTATTAAGCTTAAGCTTATTAAGAATATCCTGGGAGGAATATACATCATGTCTCTATTTGTTAAGAAACATGTACAGTTAATTTTAGGTTATAAACTGGAAGGGAAGATAGTCTCCATTTTGAAACATCAAGGAGGTAACCATGGGCAGGAGGAGAGAAATCTTGTAAAATCACTTCACCAAGGAGAATTTGGATGGCTGATTCTAAACAAGACTTGCTTCTATACAGAAGCTGGTGGACAGGTCGGCGATACAGGATATATTTATTTGAATGAAGTAAGTAAAGTTGGCATATCTATGAGTTCAATTCAAACTTTTATTATTACGCCATTGTTGGGATATAGTCATCATGATGATGGCATGAACGTGATCGTCCCACTTTTTTGTCATCGCCATTTCAGAAAAATCACTGATCGGATTTTCTTCAAATTCGCACACATGATAGAAGATATCAAGTTCTAGAGCTGATTAACTTTTGGGTGGCCATCTTGTTTCTGGCGGCCATCTTGGAGGTTTTTCGATAAATCTTGTCATCGCCATTTCAGGAAAACCGTTCATCGGATTTTCCCCAAATTCGCACACATGATAGATGATATCAAGTTCTAGAGCTGATTAAATTTTGGGTGGACATCTTGTTTTCTGGAGGCAATTGTGAAGGTTTTTCTATGGTGTGATCTTGTTCACGTCATGTGAATGTTGATAGGATCTAGGATCTTATCACCATGGTAATTCACTTTTTGATTGATTTTCTCCATGGCAGCCTCTTGTTTGATGTTCACCCTGGAAACATGTTCAATGTTGGGTGTTCACTATGGCAACTGACTTAACGTATGCTCACTTTGGAAACAAACATGTTTTTAGAAATTCACCACAGCAACTCATTGGAATGCTCACCATGGCAACACAAATGTTTGATGTTCACCTCTCAGCTTAGTTACAGATAGTTGAAGGTTTCCTTGACAACACAATTTTACACCATGACAACCTCTTATTAGATGATCTATTTTCATATTTCAGCAAGGTGGTGTCTTCAAGGTTACTGAGATGTTGAAAGAAGGACAATACATCATTCACAATGGAGTCATGGAAAAAGGATCTTGTTCCCATGGTGACAAAGCTGTTTTGGAAATTGACCAGGTAAATATACAGCCAAAGGCTATATCTGATGTAAACATTCAATACCTGGTACAACCCAAGTCAGAAGAGAATGGATCATTTTAGAAGGGAATTTATCATTTCAGGGTACTTATTTGTGTCCTTCGCATTTTTAGATTAATATCTCAGGAGCTTGTATTGAAAGATGTCAGCACCTGCTATAATAATGTAATAATCCTTTGCACATCAAGGAGGATTGGCTCCGGGGATCAAATTTTGATATTTTCCTGAACAATGAAAACGTTGAATGTCATTATTTTCTGAAATTATAACCAACTATGAATTCAAAATAAACAGTCCAAAAGATTTGAACCAATATCTAGATCATTTCTTGTGAGTTTTGGAATTTTTTGTTTGGAAATAAGACCAAAATTCACGATTCAAATGTTGAAGTGAATAAAATGGCGGTTGTTTGAATTCGAATTTTGTAATCATGACATGCCCATATATAAATTAAAAAAGACCCACAATGGGCATTAGAAAAGGGATATGATGGAATAACATTTGAATCTCTTCATATATCATTTATGAAATCGATACTCGGTGTTAACAGAAAGGCCAGTAATGACGCTACACGAGGCGATTTAGGTAGGTTTCCACTATTTATTTCTTTGTTTTATCAACAAATGAAATATCTTAATCATATTAACAATAAAGGAACCGACTCGCTTCTACGTGAAGCCCTTGAGGTAAATAAACAACTGACAGATATGAATAAACAATCATGGCTCACGCACATCAATGATGTACTTAAATATATTTACAATGGTACTTCACCAAACTATTTAAACTTAAAACCAAGAGAAATTAAGAAATTACTGGAAAATAGATACATACAATTTTGGGAAACTAAAATAAAATCAAATAATTGTAAATTGAGGTTTTATAAGATAATAAAAGCAAAATGGAACAAGGAACCCTACTTGGATTTAATCAAAAATGAAATAGACAGAAATAACTTGACAAAGCTAAGAATTAGCGCACATAAATTAGAAATCGAAACAGGTCGTTACACAAAACCAATTACCCCTATTGAAGAAAGAAAATGTTTAATGTGTAACAAGAAAACCGGTTCAGAATGTCATTACCTATTAGAATGCAATAAGTTAAAAGATGTTCGGTCAAGTTACATGGATAAAATAAAAAAACACTGTCAAAATTTAGAAAACATGAATAACGTGGAACATAAATTAATGTTTCTATTTAATTCAGAGGGAATAATATTAAATATACTAGCAAAATATATATCTAATATTTTTATCGAGAGAGAAAAAAACACGAAATGCATCCAATAAAATCTTGCAATGATCAAGCACCCTTTGATTAGTTAATATACTATGTAGATAATTAGTTAAGCTTTTTCATTTTTTTCTGTTTAAGCTGTACACTTTGCCCAAATGTGGGATACAAGTATAATAAAGCTCATAATAATAATATGGCAAACATATCGATATTGCACTCTGGGAGCCAATCCTCCTTGTTTGCACATAGTAAGATTGATTTACAAGTAGGTCCTGCCATCTTTTTTATAACCTCCCTTGTTAAAATGTTCCACTTAGACTTCTGCAAATTACTTTCCTGTCTGGGGAAAATCTTCAACAAACTATATAATAAAGTATGGTACGGTACAGTATGGTACGATATGGTACAATACAATATTATACTGTCTATGTTGGATTCATTTCACACAATCATCTAAGTAGCAGTGGGTAGTCACTAGTTTCACCACCAGGTGGCTAACTTGGTCGTGTAACATTTGAGACATACAAAAAGTAATTAAACTTGGTTTCATATTGGAAACTTTATTACATGTACATTTATGATAAAGAATATCGGCAATGTCATTTACATTCATGTTACTTGCCTGGATTCATCGGCTGGTGCACGGCAGATAAAGTATAATGTTAAAACCTGAATATACAATTTTGAACAAAATGTGCAATCAGCCGGGCGCCGTCTGATGAATCAGAGCAATTTTGACTCGGGCATTAGCTGTTCTGTTGCCCATTTCTACATCACGTTTCATTTCTATGTCACTTTACAATTCATGACATCTCCATTTTTGCATCTGACCTTTCATATCCATGCCACGTTTCATTTCTATGGCATTTGTAATTTCCCCGCTCAAATCTAATTTTACAGAATTATCTTTATTCATTACAGCTTTACTTTCTTCATCCTCGCTTACTTTTGGACTTTGTCCCATATCTCTGTCTTGTTGATTGGTCAGTCCATTTTGCTCTGATGTTGTAGACTTCGGAGATAGATACGATGAAATCGTTTTGGTATTTGATTTTTTGGAGTCTTTTGAGAAAGTGAGACTATCCCAAACTTGTTTCCTTAAAACAAAGGCAAGGAATATAAACACCCCTTGACTTGCATTTAACACAATGAATATATACCACAATGCTATGTTGTATGGTGCTATAAATGCAAAGATCCATGTAAAACCCATAAGACAAAATAGCTTGGCGTATATACCAAATGGATATTCTGAAGTCTTGTTGGTACTTAGAACCCTTTGTTTCATTGATTTCCAAAGACTTATGGCTGTTGGTATGAAGAACCCTATATTGACCAGAATGGATATGGCAATAGGGATAGTGAAAAATATCAAGAGAGGATATCTCTGTGATATCCAGCAAATTCCCCTGCCATACATCGGCTTGAAAGCAGGGTCGATATTTGAAAAATCAAGACCTAAAGATATTGCCACTATGACGGCTGGAACACCCCATGCTAGAAGTGTGTACCGTTTAAGAACTGAAACATTTGTGTCAGTTGATTTAGCGAAACTAGAGGGAGAGAATATATAGAACATATCTCTTGCTATGATCACTGTCCATGTAAAAACAGCCAAGTAACTCCAGTGGATCAAAACCCCAAGTGTTATACAAAGTTCTTTGATATGGATACAATTTGGCCCAATTAGAAATAACAAACTTGCAAGAAACAATGACAAGATAAATAGAAATTGTAATTTTCCAGGGAAGTTTTGAAACAGTGGAACAAATGGTTGAAGAATAAGCCTAATGAACATACAGACAAGTGAAAGTGTGGTACATATGATTGTTAATAGCCCCATTGTGTCATCATACTTCCATACTGCAGTCAAATTATCAAACTCCACACTCTCATTCACACAAACATATACCATATTCCCGACCAATAAAAATTCATCTTCTGAAAGTAAATTCCCAGTGTCAATAGATACTATACTCCCATTGGTCAATATCTCAACAGAATTCGGGTTAACAGGTTTCCGGGGACAGTCCGTCGTGTTGTATGTCATTCGAGGAATTGATATTGCAATAGCTGATTGGTTGTTATTGTTTGATTCATTTCGAGATACAAAGTCGCCTCCTATAATTTCACTCGACTTTGTAACACATCCATAATTCCAACATGACTTTTCACCAAACAAACTCAGACATACCTCATGTAGGTCAAGTATTTCTTGTGTTCTCTTCGGATGAGCTGAAATAGTTTCTTTGAGAATATTATTGAAAAATGTTGTGTGTATCTCATCTAAAGGTATTCTGTTTTCAACTTTCAATTTGTATTTGCTAGTGATATCAAAGTGGATTAAAGGATCTCGATCATCAATAGCTTTCAGTTTTATCTCCTCAACAATACATGGCTCCAATACTTCAAGAAATAATTCTATCAATGTTTTCTTTAAGATTTTCCAATAGTCAGTGTTTTCTATTAGCCAATAGTTAGGCATTGACCACCAACCAGTTATTGTCATAGCAAAAGTGTGATATTTTAAGACACATTTCCCATTTGTGTATTGAAATCCGTCTGCACAGTAAGAAACACAGTCCAAATTTTCTGAATCAGCCAGGCCACATCCAAATGTTTTTATGTCATCCTTAAATATGAATCCCACCTTGTTTCCAGCTGAAGGATTATAATCAACTAGGATTCCAAATGAAAATTTGGCAAGTTCTCCCTGAATGGGTGTCACAATCGCTGACTCATCCCCCCAAAAATCACATGAAATATCATCCAATGGAAACCCTTCTAGTACAGCACACATTAAACAGTAAACATTCTTAAATGATTTCTCTGAAATACCCATTGCGACAGGCATTTGAAACCCATAATAACACAAGTCTGCATATTTTGGAAGGCATCCAGTGGACTGAGGCGTGCAGTCTGGTTGTCTCATGTATTTGTCCACACATATGTGTTCAACAGGGGGTTTATATTCTAAATCACATGCTCCATTATCAACTAAATCCAACAACTCTTGTGGTGAGTTTAAGGAGCCTTCCCATACTTCGTTACATGTGACATTAAGACCCCATGGTATAACATCGAGAATATTGTTGCATGTTGCACAGAAGTAATTTTTGTAAGTTACATCAGTTGCTCGCGAAACAACTGGGACTATTTGTATAAATTCCGTAATTTCACCTTCACATTTGTCCCACACTGTTTGATTAACGTTATCCAGTGGACAGTGCCCTACCATCCAAAAGGTATAATCTTTTTCCTTTTTGCTAAAGGGATTCATACACTCAACATAAGCTGACGAGTTTGCTGCACTGGCAAAAATGTCTCTTTTTCTCTCACCAATCTTGTAATGTTCTGGACAAAACTGTTGAAAATCTTGACAACAGTCATGAGACACCAAACATAACGGATGACAGGAGCAATAAGGTCCCATATAAGCACCACATTCCATCATAGGATCATTACAGCGTGACTCGCAAGTATACATATAAGACATATAATTCACTGATCTATTTGCACATGCTGGACCAACAGGTTCAATTGCATCTATTTCACAAAGATATTTAGGTGATGAATCAGAATCATTATTCACAGGTGTAGTCGTGGTGTAATCCAAATTAGTTTTTGCTTCACTTGTTCTCTCATCTGTCTCTGGTATGCTCCGCTTCTTAGTCTTTCGGATTGATGGCTCGTTTAAATTTTGATTTTGAAAGTCAAATGTTCCAACTGGATTGTGGACCCCTTGGTCACTGACCAAGCCATTGTTTTGTTGTGTAACTTGTGCTAGAGGTACTGCAATATTAGTGTAGAAACTTGTGGTCACCAACATTAATGACATGTAATAGAAAGACATTGTTCTCCATGAAATAGTCAAGTCTTACGTTCAATGTTTTGACTAATATATATACTATACCACACTAACTTATCGTTTGTTTGATGTAAAGTTAACTTTGTAGAGTTGCACTGTGATACGCTGCTTATTGTATATCATTCTAAAGGTCTGCTTATAATCGTTCAACCTCAGCTACTATGAAAGTGATTGTTGGGTAATGTCCAAGTTCATTGCTGGTTACTGGAGGGAATCTGCAATTACAAAAACATTGTTAAATTACTGGTTCATTGATTCTCTGTAATGCATTTGAATTGAGTGCAATTATAACATTTATTTATAGTTTATTGTGCAGCGGGTGTCACCGAATGATGAACCATTTGAATCAAAGGTCTGAATATGGTTTTGAAACAAGCACAGAGTCCAAAAAATCAAAAAAAGTATTGTCTTTAATCAAAGATTCATGATAAACTTAAATAAGCTAAAATAAATTACATTATTGGTATGAATATTGTTTTAATAGTTGGAAAGTAACATTTTTGTAAAAATTGCTTTACCTGCACATGTTATTTCCTGGTACAAAATTAAGTATGAAGGCATGTGTGTATTTCCTTGCTTTTTTCAGGAAAGTATCATTACATTGTCTACTTTTAGTAAACCTGGAAACAGGTCAATGGTAGCTCCTGTGTTGTCTGGTAACTTTGAAAGAAAATTTGGAAAAACAGAAAGTGTGAAATATCAGAATTTCCTGGAGTTCCCATTGAATTCTTACCAGATAGTCTAAAAGAAGACAATGTAATGATACTTTCCTTAAAAAAGCAAGGAAATTAACACATGTCTTCATTCTTTATTTTGTACCAGAAAATAACATATGCAGGTATAGCAATTTTTACCAAAATGTTATTCTCCAGCCGCCTTACGTGCACAGTGAAAAGTATCAACTGACTTCATCACTTATTCAGCAAACATCGACCAAAGTTAACAATTTTATGCAGAAAACAGTAATCACTTACCATGTGTACAGCCAGGCTTGAGGCAGTTGAATTGAGGTAGCTTTCTCACCAAAATTTTACAAAAAATATCAATTCAGTCTGTAAGTTTTGTGTAAAGTATTGTTATTAGCTCACATGGTGTGAGCTTGTGTTGTCCCCTTTTACTGAAATACCCAGATTAATTGGCTTCATTGATTTGATATGCCAGCTAATGTATACGTTTGCCTTTCAAATTGGTTTGTTTTTATTCCAATTCAGTCCACTGACATCTTCTTACTATTGAATAGAAGGCCTGGGAACATGTATAAAAATTGAGTCTGAGACCCCAATTATACAAACTTCAGTTTTACATCAATTATACATGTTCTCAGGCCGATGTTATCAGTGAACCTCTCAATGGATGTTATGATAAAGGTTCAATCTGTTATTGAAAACGTTATAGTCTGCTGAAAACTTTTAATAGTACCTCTGCATGAAATACAGGGTGTCCCATAAGTAATGATAATTATGCTCTAAAATTTTTATTTGATAAGGAAAAATATGAAATTCACATAAATCAAGGATCAAGATGTAAGCTTCATTAGGACGTATGCAATTTATTATTTGATGCAAAAATATTCCATTATGGTTGCCATAGCAACCTGTATGCGCGTTCTGTGGAACAAGTTTGTTTTCCATACATTTTTTCCATACTTTGATCAGATGTCATAGAAAATGGAATTACTCCTTCCATTGCCTGTTTCTTGTGTTTAATTGTAATATAGGTGACATTAGGTAACATTAGGTAACATTTGGTAACATTAGGTAACATTAGGTAACATTTGGTAACATTTGGTGACATTTGGTAACATTAGTTAATATTTGGTAACATTTGGTAATATTTGGTAACATTAGGTAACATTAGGTAATATTTGGTAACATTTGGTAACATTTGGTAACATTTGGTAACATTAGGTAACATTAGGTAACATTTATTACATTATATCCATGTTGAGATAGAGAGTATAACTTCTGTATAGAATGTATGGAATACATTTAGAATTTTGCTTGATCTGTCTGATGATTCTCCATTATGCAAGATATCATAATTCAATCCTTTATGAGTCAAATTACAAATTAATAAATCATAATTGTATTATAGGAGTGATAAGATTACCTAAAATTGATTATTCCTTCTTTGAAGGTTTATATTAGTTACTCACAGGGGTGTTATATTTGTAGCTGTAAATCAGACATAATAAGTGACTTGAAGGAGGAAGCAATTTCTGCTAGAAAATTCAATAAATCCTTTTTTCATTCAATTCAATTTATTTCATAATTTCTATTTAACATACCCTATAAAACATGCCGCTAGACACCAAATAAATAAATAAAATGGGCATATGTTGTGGTGTAACAGAAATTATTTTTTAACTACATCATTCGAGACTACATTTAAAAGAAAACACTTGTATTCCATGAAATAGTTTACAAATAAATGGCTAAATGAATGGATGTAAAGTATGGTAAATCTGTTTGTCCACTTACTCCCCACGTTACTCACTATATTTTTTTAAATATTATTTATAATGTTTTGTAACTCATTTAAGAAGACACCATTTTGTGATAATGACCTTACCTATGAAATTTGAATTTTCTAGGAGAAATCACCTTTTCCCCATGTCAATCATTTTGTTTGATTTATGGCTGTGATATTGTGATCAGTTTTTATGGGAAGCCTGCAGGCTTAACTTTGCTTTGGCATTTCCAGGCAAACCATTTGATCAAGTAAGAATCTATTAAATAAACTACTGATATTGCAAAAGAAATTTGTTAGATTAATAACAAATTCAGATAGATTAGCTCACACATTCCCAATTTTTCAAGATCTTAAAATACTTAATATTTATCATATTCACACAATCCAAACTGTTTCATTCATGAAAAAAGTTATAAGCAAATCTGTACAGTTCCCTTCAAAATTATACGATCACTATTTCAAAACTAGAGAAAACATACATCAACGTATAACTCGATTTGGTCATAACTTAGATATTCCTAAACATAGAACCAGAATTGGTGAAAATTCTATTAAGGTCCATGGTTCATATACTGTAAAACGGGTAATTTTGACACCGGGAAATTTTAGCGATTTTTCAATTTTAGGGGGTTTTAGCGTGGGAAATTTTAGCGAAATGAAGATTAATCTTTAAAAAATCAAATTAGCGAAATGCATTAGAAATTTTATCATTCATGGCAGAAGAATGAATAACGGACATGACAGAGGAATTATCAAAATGTAAGACTTCTATTGCACATGTTATAATACTATTTCACTGATGGATGGCTATTTATCCTTCAGATATTGAAAGAAACATACGATTTAAAAATATTTACCTTTTTCAAATTACAAACCGGAAGTCGAGCACTGAACGAAAAGCTCCTTAAATACTAGTATTCATGTAGTTTCCCGGGAATTTGCAAATTTTAGCGCCCGTTTTATTTTAACCCCGGTTTACTTTAGCGAATTGAATTTTTAGCGAAACTATAGCGATCGCTAACAATCGCTAACAATTACCCCTCGCTAACAATACCCGTTTTACAGTATATGGAATTCCCTCAATGAAGATATTAGAAATAAACCATTAAATTCACTCATATCTCATTTGAAAATTGACCTCCTGAGTACAGAGTAACCAAAACATTTATTTCATTTCTTTATTGTCTCATATTATTGTATTTGAATATTGTATTTATATTATATTATTGTATTGACCTATGTACCACTTTAAATGTTCACAGTTTATCATGTTTATTGTTAATTTAATTATGGGCAGTCATACACCCCCTGGGGTGTCATAGCCTGTATAATGTTGTAATTTTTGTAATGAAAACTGAAATAAATTATTTTGATATTGAATTGAATTGAAGGATTTCAAGCACAGATACTAGTTTTCTGCATGAAAAAAATCAAAATTCTGCAAAAAATTCTGCAAGAAAAAAAGCAAATTCTGCAAGGAGAAAATCGAAATTCTGCACAAATTTTCAAAAAAAGTCCACATTCTGCAATCTTTTAAAACGATGAAAATTGACGTAGCAACGGAAACGGAAGTCAGCTACTTTCTAGGTAAGAACTGCGAGTCATTAGCGAACTCGCTTTAGCGAATTTAAACGTGATAGAATGTTGAATTTCACGGTGAAATCGTACTTGTACTCAATAATGATTGATTGTTGGACAGAAACAGACACTCTTCAAATACCCCGCAAAGGTAGGAGATCGTAAAATATGTAATTTCTGGAAATTCTGGTAATTCCGCGGGATTTTCATGAAAATCAGGGATTCTGCAAAAAATTGAAGTTTTGTCAAATTCCGTCCACGCCGCGGAATTACAGAATACTAGTATCTATGTTCAAGGGTGTTTCTTTGGATGAAAACCTGTCAGTAAAGTCTTGTTATAACATTGTATGTAATCAAATCATTAATCTAAATATTATTTTGAGTAAGTTGGCAGATATTCGTTCAAATTACTTTAGGTATTTCTGCTGTTATTGTTTTCATTTGTACTTTGAGCTTTGCTTCATAATCCAAATTACTTACAAAGCTCTACAAAAGGAAATTCCTTTAAAGTGAATGTTGTTGGGAAATTAAACATTAAATTTATTCTGTTATTATACTAAAAGTATTATAATATGAATTATTTATGTGAATTATTTTGTAATTTCTTTAAATGGTTTTTGAACAACTCAATAACCTAGAGATGCGAGTAGGTAGTTACCAATTTCACCACCAGGTGGCTCATTCAGGTTAGATAACATGGCAGGTATAGTAGAAAGTTCCCTTTAACTTGAATATTCATCAGTTTCAGAGGATCAATTTTCATATCAACATTATGTATCCAATAGTTATGCATATTGAAATATGTTGAGTAAAAGAAAATGTTATCTGTCCAAATACTAGAGAAGATATTTCACTTTCTGTGATTTTATAACATGGGGAATCTCCAAACTCTCCGAACTCTCCCCGAGCAATTAGTCTCATTTTCAAAAAATTAAATTTTCAAAGTTGAATAAACAATTTTCGAAACCACATTTCTGAATGTAAATATGACATCACTTTGATATTTAATGATGAAAAACAAGAATATTTCTACTCACATCTAGTCTATATATTGCTTTTACCTAAAATAGCATTTTATATATATACATGTAATTAATGTACCTAATACTGCTGCCAAAAGTAGCTGTCACATTAGCCATGTAGGCTCACCTTTCACCACTGTGTGGCCAATTTTGGGCATTTTTTAAATCAATTACCATATTAATTTTTGTGGGCGGCAGTCAGCCGTCGTAATTCGGCAGTCGGGGTTCAGCCGTCGTGATTCCCAATAGGGGTTTCGGCATCTGTATCAAAGTGATACAATTTTTTGTCATGTTAACGCTTTGTTATTATTTTCCAGGTGAGGCGTACAAAGGTCATGTGCAATCACACCGCCACTCACCTGCTTAACTTTGTGATTCGTAAAATGACTCGGAACACAAACGAAGGCTACAGGAGGACTTATTCAGGTATTTTAAGACACCATTTAGAACAAATAAGGGGCGGATCTGTAAACTAACAAGGGGGGGGCTAATATTTTGTATCGATGACTTTTGTCCAAAAATGTTTAAATAACATATTTTTCTGGAAACGGTATTTTGTAGACAGAGGAATTTATCACTTATTTTTATAGACATGTATATTATTGATGTATTTTATTTTTTATTATAATCTTTGCGTTTATTTCCAGATGATGTTGCTCAGATGGGATCTTATGTAGGGTCTGATAAACTAACATTTGATTTCACAGCAAATGTAAGATATTTAAGTGCATTAGTCTTTTAAAATTTTCAATCGTCAAATGTTTCCTAAATTTTGAAAAACTCTAGACCTAAATGATGGTATTACCCTTTTCCAAAATTACCATCAGATTTCTATTCTTTGTTACTTTTTGATCTCAATTTCAATTCAATTTTGATTTGTTTATTTCACAAAACGCATACAATATACATATACAATGAGTGGGTGACATAAGGGTTTGTGTTTATTCCCAAGATGGAGTAAATTAAATACAAAATATGTTGTTATGCCACCACCAGAAGTGGTGACATATTGGTATAGTCTCCAACTTTTTGTGGCCATCGCTTGGTGTTAAGCGGTTGGTTTTCAGTGTCTGTAACAGATTTTGGCGGTCAGCGTCTGTAACAAATGGCTGGTAGAGAAATTTTGCATGTTAATGCCTTGTAATTTCTGTTTTAGGATGGCGACTCTTTAGATGTTGAGATGATAGAGGGGGAAGTGAATAAACTGATCAGGCAAGGTCTGGTTGTCTATAAGCAAGAGACAGATCATGATGATGCGTTGTTGGTAGATGGTCTCATATACATGAGGAATATGGTAAAAATATTATGTTGAAAATCCATGCTATTTCACACTATTTCTCTCTTCTAACATTTGAATGAATTGTCATTTTCAAGATATATGCAAGATATATGGAATAAAGTACTTATAATAGATAAATGTCGGAATATCTTTTAGGGACGTAAAATGGATAAAAATATGACATATGCTCTTGACTGTATCAGTTCTTGACTGTTTGAATGTTGAGGCTATACACTACAGTGAATCTGAATGCAAAATTACTGAATTAAAAAGGGCTTGAAAAATGAATAAAACTATCCTGTCACAACAGTAAAACCTATCTAATCTGAATTGAACAACACTGGGAGCGGCCTAAAGTGTTTAATTTGATGGGGAGGGGTCATTTTAAGGTTTTAAAGTCCCCGTCTAAAGTTTGAAAATATTTTTTTATCATTCATTTACTATTTGTCATGACTTAAAAAGTTATTCTAGAGATTTTTGAAAGAAAAAATTTTTTGAAAAAAAAGTTGTGAGCATTTCATTTTTCAAATATTCAAATTTCCCGCCATTTTTCAAAAAAAGTTGAAATTTTTTAATCATCAAATATTTCTTAATGCATTTCGAAAATTATTATCTTTTTAACACCAATGCAAAGATTGATCAAAGGACACACTATTTCAATAATAAAATGCCATATTTAATGGGCCACTTCAATGTTTTAGCATATCAAAAATATTTTGCATCATTAGTGATGTCACTAAGGTACCAAAAACTTTCGACGTCAATCTTTTCTAATTATGCTAGACTTCAATAATATACCAATGTTGATTGTCTAACCAGGTTAAAAGGAAGAATATATTATGTTTTAGATATCATTGTACCATTGGTTTCTATGAGAACTAGAATTTTTAAATGCATTTTTCTCGGAACCATTTTCATGCACTGAAAAGTTCATTTCTCACTTATTTATGAACCGATTTTCTTATTTTTTTCGGCAAAAAACATGTGAGGATGAATGCTATGCATTGGTATGAGTTGTTGCTAATTAAAGATATGTGTGACCTCTGAAAGTTAATTTTAAACAAATTCACAAATTTTGGAACAAAAAGTCTATCAAAAACCACTTTTTGAAATTTAAAAAAAAAGTTTCACATATCACACTTTGATAACATTGGGTAAGACTACAATATAAGCCAAAGTGGTTTAAACTTTAGATGGGGACTTTAAACATTTATGTCTTTACAGATTAAAAATGGGACCAAAAATGTTTCACAAAAAAGAAATGTTCAGATATACAGGTTTAACAATCTATATATGTAAAACTGGGATAGATATATTTCCAATTTTAGTTCTTTTTGCTTACATTTATATGTTAAGAACATACAAAAGCTTTGAATTCATAGTCTGAAAATGTATTGACATTTGTTATCTAATGTAAGTGCCATGACATGTATTATGTTCTTTATTTTTTGCAGAATTATAAAAAGCATGTACGAATGGTGTCTATTGGTGTGTCCGTCGACAAACTACTGGAGAATCTCGGAGAAAGTGTGGCATACAAGAATTCTGTAGAGCTCTGCGGTGGAACGTGAGTAATTTTTGGCTCACGTGATAAGCTAATGGAATCTCCTACTTGTCGATCTGCTCATCAGGATTTATTCGAAAATGAGATACTTTACATTATTATTAATATTGAGAAGTATCATTGTCAATTTCAGCTTCCTAGATTTACAGTTTTCTCTGGGTACATTTTACAGTGTAACTGAGTAATGATTTCATGATGAGCTAATGCTAATTCTATTAATCATTTTGAATGATTCCATATATATTACATATTTATATGAGTTATACTAATCCATGATATATTTGTAAATTGACCTACATGTACTTGTAACTTGACCTATTTTAAAAATTGATTATAAGTTAACATGTGATGATGTATCTGTGAAGGCTTAATGATACATAATTTACAAAGAATCCATCTTTAGCCTAAGTAATATATTTTTCAGCCATGTGTCAAAGACTTCCAGTATAAGACACTTCGTTGTGACAAAGTTTAACAAAGTGTCTGCTGTGGTATACAGACTGTCAGCTGTAACAGGGGATACTGCAGAACAGGTTGGTATTGTTATCCCACTTTCACAAATTGCTATACTGCTACCATCTTGTGCTACTTGGTGTGCAGGTGGATTGGTGGGCACCATATAATTATTGTCATCAAAATTCCAGGATAACTGCTTACCTGTTGAACTCTAAATTTTTACAGATGAAAAAGGAGACTAGTGCCAAGAATTTGAAGTATGTATGTTTAAGTGGAATGCGTTTATTTTGATCCATTTTCGAGGTGTTCCACTCATTGTGGAACACTTCGAAAGTTTATGAGTCAGTGGACTGAAAGTGTTCAACTGTTCAATTTTACAGGTTTTACTGTATGTTACCGGTATTAGTATATATTTTATGTTATTTCAGCTTATTAAGGACTCGGAATATCTGAAAAGGGAGGTAGCCTCACTCTGGAACTTGCGAAGATCTGGAAACCAAAATGAAGTGCAGGATTATGAAGATAGAATCAAAAGATGCGAACAAGTGAGCAAATGTAACATATCGTTACACTTTTGTAACCATTTACAGGTCGTTACATTTTGTCATGTTACTGCCTTGTTTAAATGTAAACAAGTTTAGAGCAAACCTTGCTTTACTTATTGAAGGACTCGTGGAGAAAAAAGGCTCTCTGTGCCATAGACTGTTGATAGCTAAAGTTACAGTTCATGATGAAAATTGATCAGAATTAGACACTACTCATTGTTCTTTAAGATATAGAAGAATATTTGGGAATATGTAAAAAAACTCTTTAACATGTAGGATTCCTCAGGTTGGATTATTAAGTGACAAAACTATTTTCTTCTTTTCACAACCTTTATTTTAACTACACGGGACGTTTCAGATCACATCTGGTTCCTTTTTGTAATACTGTAATAAAAACTGAACTGTATAGCTATTTTTGTAGCGTAACTACTTGATATGAGTTACAAAATTGTTACTTGTAAAAAACTGTTGAGTGCTCTTAGTAATTTACAATGTTCAATATTTGTTTTTTTTTCAGTTGTATACAGATGCCTCGTGGTCAGTGAAGAATGATGCGACTTTGTGGGAAAAATTACAAAAACTCAGAGAAACACGAAACATGACTAAAAATAAAGATATTAGGTCAAAAGTCTCTGAGATATTTTCGACTGAGATAATGGAGAATATAGAAGATGGATGCGTAGCTTGTCGACTAAATGCTGATAACTTCATGAAACAGGTACATTCATTGACAGGTCCTCAGGGGGTTGAGGGTGCGAGCACACAGCCCCTGGTCATTGTTTATTAGAGTAAAACCTGCATATCCAACACCTCCCTAATCAAACACCTCTCAATGATAACCTTTTTTAGTCCCACTTTTGTATGCTCTAGACTACAATATTAAAAACATTTGAAATGTGAACAACTGCCAATCCAAACACTATATTCCCGTTGGCGTTTGGATGAGACAAGTTTTACTGTAATATACTTCAAACACTGAGGTGTGTGTTGTTATGAAGAACATTTGGTGGACAGAACTAACAAAATAGTCATGCATGGTATAGTTAACAATGTGTTCGAAGTTGTATGATATCTCGGGTATGATGTAAAGAACAATTCAAATGATCATGGAATTTCATGCTTGAAAAAAAGAGAAAAGTCGTGGAAATCTGATCTGAAAAGGTTAACGCAATTTGCTGTTAATACAGTGGTCAAACTTGCTCCGATTTTTAGTTCCGGCGCTGAGCCAATGAGTATTTTGTTCAAAATTGCATTCAGTTTTTAAAGAAATACTCATCAGCTGGGCACCAGTGTTGAAGCTTGGAGAAATATGACAACGGCATAAAATACCCATCTAATGATTCATGCAATTGAAATTCATTTGTAAATACATGTGCTTTACTTTTATTTGAGCCACTTAAGTGTTGCATGAACTCAAATTTGAAATGACTTTTTCAGGCCAAGATATTTCCGTGATAATCAACCTGACCATCCTGGGGACAAATGTGACAACGGCATAAAATACCCATCTAATGATTCATGCAATTGAAATACATTTGTAAATACATGTGCTTTACTTTTATTTGAGCCACTTAAGTGTTGCATGAACTCAAATTCAGGTTTGAAATAACTTTTTCAGGCCAAAAGATATTTTTGTAAATACATGCTCTATGCTTTCATTTGAGCACATTAAGAAAGTGTTGCATGAACTCAAATTTGAAATGACTTTTTCAGGGCAAGAGATATTTCCGTGATAATCCACCTGACCATCCTGTGATGATTTGGAATTATAAAGAAGGCAAACAAAAGAGGTTCAAGGGACAGAGAAGTGTCCTGGCATTGTTTTATATACCAAAGGTACTAATATACTACAGATGTGTTAAATGTAAATACTTAATTCATGTATTCAATTTTCATAATTCAGAATTAACATCATCATGAACTCACCATGTATTGTATTTCAAGTTTATATGGCAAGAACTTATATTCTCCAATTCTTTTGGACAGTGTTTCACATCCAGTGTTGGTGTTCGACAGTCGGCAAACTCTAATACTCTAATATATGAGGGATAAATCTTGAAATGATGGATTCCCTGGTGAAAAATAGCCATTATTCTTTTGATGAATAATTATATTGATGTTTATTTTTCAGGACCACATAGCCAAAGACTTTGACCCTCAACAATGGGCTAAATACACCTTTCAGGGCCACTTTAGTGGTCAGGCTGAAAAGTTTATAGACCCAAACATGTATAATGGAGATATTATACAGGAAGTAGTGCTCAATAAGCCACCTAGTGGTGATATGCAGAACTATGAACGAAGAGCTAGGGAATATATAAAGAACAAAAGATAATGTGGCTGATAATTTTATTGGTAACTGTTCTTTTTGGCCTGGAAACTTTTCAGGATGATTGGTCTGAAATCATGCTTGATATTGGGCATGAAATTATGCTTGATATAGTGTAATAATGGTCCCAAAAACTTGGCAGGGTAAGAGCTGCTTGATAATGGTCCTGAAAATCATGCTGAATAATGTGAACACTATTAACTAGATTACTTTTAACTGGTATATAAATCATGGGATTTGGATAAGGAATCATATTTCCTTCAGACGGAGTAAAGTATTTATACACAGATGAGACATAATATGAAATAAAAAAAGATCTTATTATAAAACCTTATATTTTATTGATTTCACTCTATTCCAAACAGTAAGTACATGTACACTGTATATGTTTTAAGTTGCACAGTTGTATTCAGTAAAACCTATGTAAATGGAACACCTTTAAAACTTTAAATCATGTTTCATTTTTAAGGTATTTTGAACACCTTTAAACCTAAAAATCGTGTTTCATTTTAGAGGTATTTTGAACAACTTTAAACGTAAAAATCATGTTTCATTTTTGAGGCTTTCCACAAAAATTGATAGGTTTATTTTATATAGCTTTAAGGAAACAGAACTTGGAAAATGTTTCACTTTATATGAAGGTGTTCCACTTTCCAGGTTTTACTGTTACTAACAATGAAAATACATAGTCACTAAAAAATCAGTTATCCAACAACTCTGCTTCTTGGTATTTTACATTGCTGATTTTGCAGTTTTGTTTTACATTTCCCCAAATTTATTCAAAAATCCTAAAAACATGCTAAAAATTAATTTCAAACCATCCAATATCAACACGATCTTAATATAAATTCCAAAAACATGCATATACAGGGTGGTCCAAAAAAAATTGGAACATTTGATAATTGAACTCAAAATCGTTATTTTTTCTCTAAAACGCAACAAAACTTTACTGAGTATTGTTCAATCACTTATTTATCTGATGTAAAGTTTATAGGTGCAAACAACAAAGTTAATGCATTAAACTAAAAAATGTTTGATATGACCCCCTTTCTCCTGAATTACAAGTTGAAGCCTGGGACTCAGTTTTGAAATGATTCATTCACTTTGCTGTTCATTTGATTTTGTCCAAGCCATCTTGTTCAATTCAGCTTGAACAAACTACTAATATGTTTGCCTTGGAAGATCAAATATATGAACATATTCAACATTTTTTTACCCAAATTGATGGGTATCTAGCATGTTTGTATGGCTATTGTTGGATATATTACTGATTGAATATTCTCCAGAAAGAGGCCGGGTAGTCTGTTTTGACTGGTAAATGAACCCCCTCCCCTTTCTTGTTCTAATATGAATAATATTCATTGAATATATCAATACAGATGTATATGTATATCAATATCATAAAGGAGTTTCCCAGAACACAAACGATATATTATATTGTGTGTGCTTAGAGGTGGTCTTTAATAAAGTCTTGTAAATAACTAGTCAGTTTCCCCTCTACTGAAACGTGGAATCAATGATTTTGTCAGTTTAGTATCTGTATGGGTTATGCAATCACTCACCTCTGATATGTTCTTTCTTTCCTACTCTTAAATAAAAATAATGATTTGGGGTATTCTTAAGTTGACAATAGTTTTCCAGTAAACCATAGATGTTAATACCTCATGTCAACTAAATATGATTTTATAAAATGTGTATAGCAATCAACGTGTTCTTTAAAGCGTTGAAATAAAGAATACTTGAAAAAGAAGCCGCGAAATTGACAAGTGTTTATTTAAGAAAAGGGGGTCATATCAAACATTGACTAGTTGAATGCATTAACTTTGTGGTTTGCTCCTATAAACTTTACACCCGAGAGATAAGTGACTAAACTTAGATGCTCAGTGAAATTTTGGTGCATTTTAGAGGAAAAATAAAGGTTTTGTGTTCAATTAACAAATGTTCCAATTTTTTTTGGACCACCCTGTAGTTATGTATTAGATTATTTTAAATTCCAATGTACAATTCATTTCACAGCCTCCAAAGGCATCCATTGTTATAAATCAAAAAGTCAGTTATTTATTAAAGTTTTTTTACCATATCTTTGTCATTTTCGGGAATGGGTCACTGATATTTGGCACATTTATACATCATAAATCATGTACACCTAAAATGACAAAGATATGAGGAAAATGCAGGGTTGCCGTTTTTTGACCACCCTGTATTACATGCAGTGATTCCAATCTTACTAAAATTTTAATGCAAATAATAGTTGTATAACATGATGCCAAATTGGCTCAATAAACAAGGAACAGAACAGAACAGAACCCCTGAGATTTGCCTGTGGTCCATAAGATGCCATTATGCTTTGGGTGTTCAAAATATGTATAGCTATCAACATGATTAAATGCCGCATGTCTGATAGCATGTCATTGTTTGGGCAAAGTCCTATAACTGAGTACAATCTACTATAATAATATTTTTCATACACTTATGCCTTTGTCACATATGCGCTGATCCATCGGCCGGCGCCCGGCCAGTTGAGTGTTTTGTTCAATATTGTATTCAATTGTGAACAAAATACTCAATCGGCCAGGCGCCGTAGTGAAAATCGGAGCAAATGTGACCAAGGCATTAATACATGCAAATGTTTACATATTGTTGGATCAAGGGATGGATACCAACCTGATCCAAAAATGACCACTATATATCTGAAGGTACTAAAATACAATGTACATTATTTGGGTAGACTCATTTTGAGCTCTATACTAGTGAACATCTGTTCAGAATGAATATATACAAAAAAAACTTCAGTCAAATCATACAAAATATTCCAAAAGATTTTTTATGTACAAAATATTAACATACACAGAAGCAAAAACATGGTATTAGACACAAGTGGCAAAAATCCAACAAAAGCAGGCAGAAAACAAGTAGGGGAGATGCGTCGAACATTGATCATGTATGGGGTTACTTCGTCATGGGGCTATTTCGACCATGAAACTTTTTCGAAATTGGCCTATAGTTCCGATTCATGAAGGCCTCCATCTTTGTTTTTGAAAACTTTTGAAGATAAATTGAAATTTCCAACGGGCAAGATCTTAATCAAAGATGGCTGACCATGGAAATATGAATTATCGGCAATTGTTAAAATAACCCCATGGTCGAAGTAACCCCTTGACGAAGTAACTCCATACATCGATTACAGAAAACACACACAAAATGGGTTTGCTTCATTATAGGTTGTCACCATGCCCGCTGCCTTGATGAGAGGACTGGGTTACATATTTCAAATGACAATTGATGATAAGGATACATTATGTCACATCCATTTTATGCAAAAGAAACTAAAAGAATATAATAGCATATTTACAAGAAATGAAGAACCAGAATTGGTTACTATGTTGTACTTCATGCTACAATCCTTGGGCACAGGTGCCAGATTTCATTCTTATAATTTCCAACATTACATTCTCAAGTTTTTACAATCTGCATATCTTTTACTCAAACTTTTTGAGCTCACTTTTAAAAAATGAAACCCGCTTTTTATACGAATCTCATCTTAGTCTTTCAATGTTTCTCGGAAGTACATCCACTGATACAAGGAATCTATTTTTAAAAGAAAACTTGTCTGGTTTGCTGTTGCTGACTTCGTCCCCGATTACCTCTATTTCCTCCCCGATTACCTCTATTTCCACCTCTATTACCTTTATTTCCTCCACGTCCTCTATTTGATATCCTATTATTCCTTCCTTGAGCAGTCTGATTTAAATTCACACGCTGACGATTCTGATTCTGGTTTTGTTTAGAGAACCGTTGATTACGGTTACGATTTTGTCCTCCTGAGATCTGAGTGGCTGTTTGACTGAATCGTTGCGAGATTGACATTCCACCCCTATTGTATGAGAATCCTAGATTTTGTTTTTTAATGTTTGGAGGGATTGAGTTAGAATTCTTGTTCTTGTTTTGCAGCTTCTGAAAAAGAAATGTTACACCATTTCATCGCATTTTGTTTGAATAAATATTCCAATTTTTGATTTTATATGATTCTACGGATTCAGGACAACACAAGATTGTGCAACAAAGAATGGTTTAATTTAAAGGAATTCCAGGCGATAAAAATAAATTTAAGGGTTATCAAGAAAGGTAAACAGGGAATAACGCAGAATTTATATATTCAGGACAACTTTTTGAGCTACAAAGAGCAGTTTAACTTAATCCAGAATTCATATAGAGCTGGGTTCTGAATATCTATGCTCATTTTTACATGAAGATAGTTTCATCTTTGAATTCTGGGTAATTCCCTCCTTTTGGGTTTACAGTACTTTAACCATCATTATTTTGTTGGGAATATTTGCCCTAAATTGCATACCCTAATGGTTTGCTGTGTACTGTTCTGCTTTCTTGGCTGGTTGAGTTGTTGTTTCTTCCCCCTCTGGCTCATATTGTTTCTGGTCAGCTTGTTTTTACTGTAATAAACATAATACATTTCATGAGATGGGAGGAAGTTCGATAAAAGGAAGATTAATTTAAAAGTTCCAGTAAGTGCAGGAGAGCGACTGATTATTTGGTTGACCCAAAAAACAATACTACTCTGCTGGCATCATTTGTAAACCCATGTTAAAGGGCCGTTATGCTGAGAATATTCTCGAAAAATGTAACACCCTAACTCTGCAGCAAGTCAAAAATTCAATTTGACCCAGTTGGGTAGATCATGATTTTCAAGGAACTGTCTCAATATGATTTTGGCCCTTATTACCATGGTTCTGCAACACCCAGGTAATTTCTCTAGAATACTATGGTAATTTCTTAAAACGATGGTAATTTCTCCTAATACTTTAGTAGTTTCTCCTAATGCCAAGGTAATTTCTCTAGAATACCATGGTAATATCTTAAAACTATGGTAATTTCTCTGAATGCAAAGGTAATTTCTCCAAGGTGTGTAATGTCCTTTTAATATGTTCTTTAAAAATGTGGCAAACAAAGCTGTTTTTAATTTCAGAAAAGGAGAGAACTGATTGTTTTTCCCTGCAACTTAAATAAACGTGAAAAAACTTGATTAAAGTTAAAAAAATGTGCATATCTTGACTAAACTTTGGCAATGACTCTGAAAATAAAAATTCTGCACACACTTGAAGAAAAAATCCCTGAACACTAGTATGTAAAGTATAATGTAAACATACCCATAACTGGGTTGGTTCCTTATGTTGACTGTGAGTAATCCTCCACTTTGATTATTCTGGTTTTTCCTTCTGTTGCCTTGGTTACTCAAGTTTTTTCTGTTACCACGGTTACCAGCCTGTATCCTAGAAACAGAAAATAAAACTTAAAAATTGAAAAAAATAAATGATTGAGATTATTCAAGGAACAACATTTACAAATACAACAATGGAAGTATCAGTTGAATAATTTTCAAATGATTTCAACTCAATTTATCAACTGAATACTTTTATCTTTAAGAACCAATCAACTTACTGTAATTTCTTATTCTGGCCACGTTGTAATTTCTGTTGGATTCGTTGCCGTTTTTGCTGTACATTTTGTTGCTTAGCAACAGCATCTGATCTCAAAGTCCCATAGGTGTTCTTGAAGTTGTTACGGTTAAGCTTTTTCTTGCCTTGGGGTTGATTTTGATTCTGTAAACAGAACAACAACAGGTAAACTGAATGATGAGTCTGGGGGCCGTTTCTAGAAAGTTTCGTTATTAACGAATCGTTAATTCAATTGTTAATAACGATTTTTCTGTTTCTCAAAAGTTAATGATTCGCGATGACGTCATGGTTTGTAACGATTTATTCGTTATCCATGATGCGGTGTCCATAGACAAATCCACGATTCGCTATTAACGATTCGTTAATAACAATAAGTTCCGAGAAACGTCCTCCTGGGAAACTGGGCATGTAGGTCATAGCTGCAATACCATATACGCAATGTTGTGAGAGTCAGGTTATTTTGTAGTTCAAGTGGTAGAGCACATGACATGCAATATAGGGAGGCTGTTTGTTTGAATGACTTTCTCACATCACATGAGCCATTTAGATTTGTTTCATGTTTCAAATTAACCAAGACTTGATTTCATGAAAACATATAAGACATGAGACCCAAAACCAAATAGTTTTGACGTGAGCCACCAAATTCTTCAGCATATACATGTATACATGTTAATATAAATACAATAACTTGCAACTGGTTCATAATACAATTTTGATACTGGTCAAAATCCTTAAGAATACCCTGGATACCTTCTCTCCATCCTCCGATCACAGGGCTTCAAAATCCAGAATACAACAACAACATTGCAACAGCAATCATGTATACGTCATCGGCGCACAATTAGATCACATGATTCAGTTTTTTCAGGCGCTTCTAAATTGATAATAGCAGGAGGTTATAAGAAGGAGGTACAGATTCGAGACACCTGCTTAGGAGGATACCTTCTCTCTCATGCAGATTATATTCATTCATAAAATCATTCATGTAGAAATTGAATTAAATCCTCTTTAAAATTTTAAACATTTTTTTTCAATTTGGAACTTGTTGTATTGCTAACTGGGAAATGGATTCTTTTCACACTTTGATATTTTCAGAAAAGAGGATTTATGTTCAAGTCTATTGCTTGTGTTGAATATCAATATGAGTTCAAATTATTTGGAGGTGAAATGTCATATTTAGGATGAGGATTACAACCACTGTAATCCTCCACAAATACAACCCCTATTTTAATGTCTGATTGAATAACTGTTAATTGATTTTCATCATATAACGTTTCTGATTATGCTGATGCCCAGCCACAAGCACATGTGCACTTGTTTTAATGTATTCTTTGTATAAATAAATAAATAAATAAAAAAAGCTACTGAGCACTAACAATGTTTACATTTACATTTATAGAGAATATTTTTCTTGCTTAATTTTTTAAAACTACATTGGTAAATCAAAAGTATTCAAACACATTGGCCTTATATCAAACAATATTGAACTCTGCTCTGAATAGAGTTAAAGCAATGATTATGAAAAAAAGAAATATTGATCAAATGAAATCAAGGCATCTTACTAAACCATCAATTTATAACAAAGATTCAAATTATATGCAACAGATGTCTTGGAATTAATATTGATTTAAACTTTACCAATAAAGTTAAAACTAAAGAAATACAGAAAAGTCTAATTTCCATGCTATTGTTATTCCATGAGATTGGCCAATGAGAAATATCTGTGTAAAAGATCATCCATAACTTATCGATCACCCCTCGTACATTAACATGTGCAACATATGGTCTACTAGTTGTTAATGTAAGCATTTTAGTGAATATTTATTTCTGCAGTCAATTCTCGTGTATTTTCCATTCATCCATATGCAAATACACTGTATATTCAAATGAATATTATAGTTTTTTATGAAATAAGTTACCATCTGAAGAAATTTAAAATCAATAACAAAATTGGATTTTTCATAATTGAAAGATTATGTTAAAAATAAAATAATAAAAAAAGCAAGTGATTTTTAATTTTTACTATATTTAGTGAAGCTAAGACATGTAAAATGGTGTTGTATTATATGTTTATTTCAGAAATCCTGAGTATGCAAATTAACTTATATTAGGTAAACTTATTGACACCAAAACTGTCCTCATGTTTATTGACAAACCAGATTTTGGTAATAGCCATACCAACACAGAAAATATCTATCCATTTTACACCGTTTCAAGAATATTAGAAAATTTTGTGTCAGATTTTGAAAATTTTCCAGTAATAATCTAGAGAAGAAAGCATATTTTGACATTACACTGAAACATTATGGCATAATATTAGATGATGATAATGCAAATTTGTACATGATGGAAAATTGAAATATGGCATTTTTAACTTGGGCTGATTGCGCAGTGGCACTGTTTTAATTCACTGCAATAATTTCAGCAAATATGTTCAGTTTGTTTAGGGATTTAACAAAGCTTCTGGTGATGTTAATGAAATGATATTACACACTATTAACAAATACGTGTATATTTTAAACTTAAACACAGTCTAAGTTTAGGTCAAGTTTTCTGAAAAAATCTGAGGCAAAGACCGAGATGGCGAGACATCTGCCTCAGTGATCTCAAAGTAGGTGTACACATTAAATTGGGAGTGTATTTATTTCCCCCTTGGAATATCACTTATATCCTTACCCGAAGGTATAAGAGCAATGCAAATTGTAATAATTACAATTTTTCAAAAAAAGTTTAATGGTTTTCTCACCTGTATTCCACGTTTCTGATTGACAACATTTTGTCTGTTGCGATTTTGTCGTTGTTTGTTGAGTCTAGTGACAGCATTTTTTACCACTTTATTGGCCCGCTGGTTCCGCTGGTTGTTTGTTTTCTTTCCCTGAAAATTATAAAATCATATTATAGGGGTCTGGGTGACAATATTAAAGCTTATTTTATAAAGACTATTTACACAGAAAGGAGTGGAGTTTTTCCTGATGGAAAAATCACTGAAATTTGAAGTTGCAATTAGATGTGTGCTCATTAACAATGCCATTGGATTTAGGTCATTAAAATATTCTCAGCCTCAAATCTAAATATCCATTTAAAGTCAATAGGTCATTTGTATTATAGTCCATTTTATGTAACCAGAAATCTGAATAAATAATGCTTCACATGTGGTCTGGTAAACCAGCTGACTGAATTATAACTGAGAAGTTTCAGCAATCAGCCTAACCTTCAAAATACATGTAATAGCATGGAAATAGAATTTGCTATCATTCAAAATTATATAATAAAAAAAGATTTTATCTGCATCAATTCAGAACCCTTCAGCTTCACAAGAATTTTATTGAATTTGGTTCAAATAAAATCAAATAGTTCAAAAATCATTCTTACCTGTTGGGCGACATTCATCCTCTTCATAGGACTAACTCCTGTTTTCTGGTTGGCATTTCTCCCCTTTTGTCGCAGATTTCTGCCTTTCAATCCAACCTTTAATGTTGCTTTCTTCGCAGTCTGTTTAGCTTTCTTGTTCAGCTTGATTATGTCATCTGCAGAAATGCAACACATCTGTTTTTTACAATTCATAGTGTCTGAATGAAACTGGATTGGTTTGAAATAAGAAGCAGAACATTGGTCAATCGAAACAATTTTTTATCAACTTTTGTGGAATTTCATTCTGAAATGTTCAAAATAAACATCAATTTTATACGACACTTCATGAATTTTTGTCAAGGCTGATTTTCTTTCACCAAATGGAGAGCGGTGATGTTTTCATCTATATCTATTATTTGGAGATATCACCCTTCGCGCAGAGTCTAGTTATAAACTACCCTCTGCCAAGTATAGACTATATTACAGTTTAGCAGCCCGCCCCGAAGACTGGTGTCTTTGACAGCCCGGGTAATTAATCATTTCAAATCTACCACGCTGACCCTTTCCCAACCAATCAGCGAAGTGGAAGGGCACATGCTAAATACATGCTAATTAACTATGCGGTGATGTCAGAGGAAATGACCATATAGGAAGTTGTATGATTTCGACGACGAACTCTGATTGGCTCGGTGAGATCAGAGATTTATTGTAAACTCAAAGAGTGAAGACAAGCTCTCTAAGAAAGGAGTCACAATCCTGGAGTGGGTAATAGTGAAAGCGTAAAGACTGTTCTAATAAAAGATAGGTCAGCCTTTATAAGAGTTAAGTCATGGATTGATCATTTAGCCTAGGCCTAGCCTAGTTCAACGTCGTTAAACTCAATAACGGCGTTATTTATTATTAAGAATTTTCTTGGGGCCATTATTGAGTTTAACCTCTTTACTATTCTTTCCATTGATGCAAGATTTGGATCCACCGAAACCATTTTTTCGCGATAACATGCAACTGATACTTGACAACAATATAAAAACACATTACATCAAGCGATTCAACACAATATTATTGTATTAAATGGTCATTTATACAAGTAAAATGAGGTTAAACTTACCAATCTCTAAAATGACATTTCCGCATGTCCTTCATTGTGTCTGTTCGTCCCGGGTTAAAATTTAAACTATTGAAACGAAATTGTTGTCAAATAGATTGATAATTATCACGCGATTACTCGGGATAAAATAGCAATTTTTGAGGATAGCAGGTATCTTTGATTGATTTATATAGCGCTTGTATACACACAAAATCGTTATTAATTGCAAACCTACTGTTCGTTGATGCAGTGTCGCAATGACGGTTAATTCCTGATACGATTTGCAATTTCGATGTTACCGGAGCTGACCGATATTTTCGTAAAATTCCAAACCTGTCTCCAATATTTTCGTAATTATGCATCAATATGGTCTAAGGGGGGTACGGGATGGTGTGTATGTATTTATAAGGTATGTATGCATGCTTGAATCACATTCTTTATGTAATATTACCATGTTTTCGGAGTTTAATTAGTTCCGCATGTCGAAACCTGCTGAACGATTAAATGATCGCAACAAGGGCAAAATCATCATGGAAGTTAGACCTAGCCGGGGCCATAAGACATGTCAGATAAGAAACGAGGCCCAGGCTAGGTCTAATGTTGTTGGACTAGGCCTAGCCCAGTCTGCCTAACCTAGAGTCCATTTCACTGCTTCATTTCGTCAGTAGAACGGCAAATATAAGAAATTTGGAGACCATTGTGCAATAATATATGGAAAAGTATATTCATAATGTACATGAATGACATATGTATATCTTGGATTGCTTCTAGTTTGGCTTATAAAGTGTGTGGCCTCTTATATTTGGATGTTTCTCTGCCATGTTATTTTCAATAAGATTAACATGGCTGAAATTCTTCAAATTACAAGACGGCACAACCTTATTGCACAAAAAACTAAAAAATCTGAAATATACAAATGTCATTCATGTACATTATGAATATACTTTTCCATATATTATTGCACAATGGTCTCCCAATTTCTTATTTTTGCCGTTCTACTGACGAAATGAAGCAGACTCTAACCGGGACAATTTTTCCCCGAATTTTTCACTTGGTCAGCAATTTTCAAAGACCAAAGAATGTATCACTTTAAAGTTAATCATGATAAAAATTCTCGCATGCTTGTAAAAAATACTCACCAAGCGACATGTCAATTTTGTCCATTTGGGAGGCCATCTTAATAGACTTATCCCACTTTTAGCAACTAATTTTTGAATCGACGCTTTCTGAAAAGTATGGCGAAGGTCACGTGGCACGAAACACATGTAAAGGCAAAACTAAATGCTAAACGAAATCAAAAAGAGTATTTGAATCATATCATGCTTAAAGCACATACACTATTGGTATTATAACTGATTCAATTATAAAATATATTATGACTTGCTTTGATTTAATATTCCATAAACAACAAAATATTTTTCAATTTAAATATAAATTGAATGATTTCGTTTCAGAGCAGGTATAGTTTTAACGCAGCCAAGTAAATCAAAACATGGAAAGTGGCATTTTGGCAGCTGCAAATACTACCCCTATTGCGGGTCTTAAATGCTCTCTATTTCCAAATAATCAGTACCAATGTGTGAGTAATTATATTAACTTTATAGAATTTATAAAATCAAAAGTTTACATTCGCATGAAGAGTGGTGTTTTTAAATAAATTGAGATGATTTTTTTCAAATTTTTACCTTTTTGGACAAAATTATAAACAGGAAGTGGGATGCTTCATATGGGGGAGCTCAAGTCAAGAGGAGAGATAACCACAGAGCTTAGAGATGACAGATATATTTATGTCTCTTGCTTACCACAAAGCCTTCGTTTTCACCGTCTAGACTCCGATACCATGGGCGTAGCGCTATTTTTCTAAGTAGTACGCCACCATGGGAGCCCGCATGCGAGCAATAGTTGAGAGAAGCAAAAAAGCATTCAGGGGGGTCTGTGGGGTTCTCCCCCTTGGAAAATTTTGAAATTTGGTTGTATTTGGAGCGAATTTGAGACCATCTGGTACGCCTGTGCGTACCCAGCAAACTGGGCGCTATGCCCATGGATGTCACACATCGTCGTGATGTTAGCATATTTCCTTTGGTCTTTCTATTTTTTCAAAATCATGCAGTTTTTCACCATTTTGAGCACTTCTCAAGTGATTTAGCCATATTTGGGCCAGAATTGTGAAATGTGAACCCCCTGGAAATATTTGAAAACTGAACCCCCCTTGGCAAATCCTCGCTATGGGCCTGTACAATATGAGTTTACTTTGGGGAAGTTAATAAACATGACAAGGAATGATATGAGCCAAAAATATTCTAAAATTGGAACAATTTTGAATTTTTGTTACGGTTTTGCTTCACATTATATGTTGGCAAATAAATAATTAAAAAATGCTAGAAAAAAAACAAGTCACTACAAGTTAATCCTTAGACTAGAATGTATATCGGTTATACCAAATTATGCCAGCCACCTAGGACCCTTGGATCCAAAGACTGATGCTCTACCGACTGAGCTATAAAGGCTTAAGCCACTACAGCTGGACTGTAGTAGCAACTTGCTATCAAGGGTCGTTACAGTATTTTTGATTATACTATTTCAGGATGTCATCGTTGCCGTGAAAAGAGCCATGGCATCACTGTCATTGGTTGGATGGTGAGCAATATTTTTAGATATTCCACTCTATTTTACTTCAATTGAGAAAAGTGATTCTACTCAGCCTAGATTAAAAATATTTCATAAAAGGAGCTAAATCTTTATAAAAGCAATTGAGAAAAGCAATTCTACTCAGCCTAGATTAAAAACATTTCATAAAAGGACCTAAATCTTTATAAAAACATCTGTGGTATTCTCACCCTCTGAACTCACGAGGAAGGAACAAACAGAATGAAACCTTGTATTCAAAGGATGTTATTTTCATTGATTGTCATATTGTTTATATAAGACTGGTAGATCATCATAGCTGTTCATTTGATTCAACCAATCATTCAGAAAAATTCACAGAGATCCCATTGTCAAGTTTTTCGGATTTTTCATGTGTAACATGAATTAAGATTTTAAACCATATTCATTTTTTTTTCTATTTCAGTTTATTTATGATATGTGTGATTGTACTCTTCAAGAAGTATGCAGCATTTGCACAGAGGTTGATACTATATCTCAGTGTAGCAGCGTTCTTTGACAGTGTCGCCTATCTTATGGTAAGTATCGCCTATCTTATTGTAAGTGTTGCCTATCTCATGGTAAGTATTGCCTATCTTATTGTAAGTATTGCCCATCTCAGGGTTAGTATGCCTATCTCATTGTAAGTATCGCCTATCTCATGGTAAGTATTGCCTATCTCATGGTAAGTATTGCCTATCTCAAAATATTGCCCACCTCAATGGATGTTGAAAGGGGTGGTTTGGAACTATGACGTTTCATTACCTAGATTTATGTATTGAAAGATATTTTTAACTTGTCAGCTCAATTTTATATCTAATAAGGTGTACAAAAAACACACTCCTTAGAATGGTTGTTATTCACAATTTTAAGTTTCACATTTTTCACGTTTCACATTTTTTCTTGTTTCACATTTTTCATGTTTCACATTTTCTCGTGTTTAACATTTCAGGGTGAGCTACATCCAGATGGGCCGCTATGTGACTTCCAGGCCTGGTGGTTGACATACTTTGGTAAGCTATCATTATACTCTGAATCTGTATCAGCAAGTTACACTTCCCTCTAACTATTCTAACGATTTACAATTTTGATGCTGGTGAGGTCTTAACAATCTCAAGTATAGATTCCTTGGAGTTTTATGTGAAATGATCTCAGCTACTTGTTTGTGAAAATGTAGTGTCATAATTTTCTGATGACATAAAGGAACCCTTGATAGCAAGAGATCTCCCTCACACTGAATCAAGTAGGCACTACATCCACTAAAGACTTTAAAAATGGGCTTGCACACCTGAAAACAAATACATTGAAAAGAGGAAAATAGGCATATTTTGACCAATTTTTATGGGAAGTGTGCAAATGAGAATTTTGCATTCTTCTGAAGATAGAATCCTAGGGAAGAACATTGATTAATTTATTAACACTGATTAACTCATTATAACTGATTAATATATGAACACTGATTAATTTATTTCTTCATTCCAGATTGGAGTGTGCTATTGTGGGTATGCTGTATTACATTCAACCTCTACATGAATGCCATTCGCTCAGTTATAACAGAGAAATATGAATGGTAAGAGCAATGCTTAGCTCACCATTAATAATTTGATTTAAAAAATATCTAGCTTGGCATTTATCAATGACCGCTAGGAACTTTTTTTTATCTCACTTATATTGTTATAATTCAGTGCTGATGGGCTTGCAGGCAGGCAGCACAAGAAATGTGTTATCAAGAATCAAGAAAGCAAGACAACTGTTGAACGTAAAATTTTACAGATGCAAGAGCAGACTTCAAGATCTCATTAGCTTTTGGGCATGCTGGGTAATTCATAAGGCAGCGACATATATCACGATGTGTCTTGTTTAAGCTTGGATATTATATACAGGGTGGGCCAAAAAAAACGCCACTTTTTTTTCAAAATGCTGTAACTTTTTTAATTTTTGAGACAAAATCTTGCAACTTGCAGTTGTTATCTAGCCATGGATCATAAATTAGACACTTTTACTTGAATAAAATATGTCACCAGCGTCTCACTAAACATGTGGTGTGCCATGAGAAATAAGCATAATTTGCAAAATGTTCCTGAACTGATACGGCCTGATGATCGCTAAGCTTATAGCCCTGATGCAAACCCCAGTGAGTATAGGGTATGGGAAGGTCTCCAGGAGATTGTATGAAGGCACCCAATCTGAAAAATTGCTCTACTAAAGCTGGCAATTAAGACAGGTTGAAAAAAACCTTTCATTGATACTGCTATATCAGCAAGGTGACTAAAACTAAAATATATCATTAAATAGGGTGACGGACCAATTGAACTCCTCTTTTAGATCAAATATCATTCAAGTTGAAGGACTTGTTACATTATATTATTACTAAGAACTCCTGGCACTATATAACTGCAAAATTTTGGGTATGTAGGTGTGAAAATAAAAAAGTTGTAGTGTCTTGAAATAAAAGTGGCGTTTTTTTTTGGCCCACCCTGTATTTCCCTTCAGGATATTTCTAATATCCCAAACCTTCCATGACATAACCTCTGTATTTCTATTTCAGGGTGTACCATGTATTATCATGGGGGTTTCCACTAATCATGTCTTGCTTGCCATTTATAAATGATCACTATGGACCTGCTGGAGCCTGGTGGTAGGATATATTTTCATTTTTCGTGCTTATTTCATGCTATTTCTCTGGAAAATTTTGCCTGATTTTTCTGCATTTTTATACAAATTAGAGTGTATCTTCTATATGTCTGTTTACTTTATTCTTTAATAATTGATAATTTTAGAACTACATGTACGGTACATGTATTAAATTTTTTTTCACAAGCAGAGAGGTATCATTAGGAATTAACTTTTTAAATCAGATGACTGAAAAACATGAAAAAGCAACACCAATACACCCATTAAGGGCAAACTACAGTTAGGAAGATTGCTGGTACTGTACTTAAAATTAGTTTACTGTGTTTTGCACTTTTAGCTGGATCAAAGGAGATGACAATGGAGTTAAGTGGAGATTTGGAATGTAAGTAAACAAAAGAAACTCAATTTAATGTCGTAAACTATCAAATGTAACGTCGGGCTGATTATTTTGGCAAAGTTTAAACATTTTACAAACACCCACTTCATGCACCAATTAGTCGTTTGAACGAGACCATTCCCTGTGGGAATGTGTTGGGAATTTGATTAAAAAATTTGGATGGCCTACCTTTTGATCAACTCAGTGAGACTATGAATTCCCATTCCAGGAGCAAAACAACTCAGTGTTCTCCACAGCATTTTTTCTCAAGTGGGTGCAAAATTCTCATCTTCACAATTTGGACCCAGATTGGACAAAATATGCCCCATTTTTCATACTTTTTCTCATTCTCAAGTTGGTGGAAATGGATTTTCTGGTGGGTGCAAGCCTGATTTTAAAATCTCAGGTGGGTGCTGTGCCCACTTGCTTTATTGTTGAGGAGATCACTGCAGCTGATCAAAATGTTCTAGCCCTCAGGTCCTCCTTTAACTTAATTTGTACTCCAGATTACTTTTCTATTTATACACCAACTATGTGTATGTGAAAGTGTATGGATCATATCAGGAGTGATCAATGGAATGTCTTATTAGCCATCAAAGCAAGAATCCTGTGTGTGCCTCATAAAGATAGCAATCAAAATATTTTGATTAACAATTCCTTAGCTTTAAATGGTGTAGTGATTCAGACAGAAAATTGGTTATAAAATTGGAAGCAACCGCGTTAGACTGTCTGAATTTCTACCCAAGAATCAAAATACCACCATGTTCTTGCCCAGATGTAAACAAATATGAGTCATGTCTGATAGTCTGTAAAACTTTGGTGATTAGATTTCATGAAAACTTCACCAGACCTTGAAAAATGATACTGTCTGTTTAAAAATCTGGATATATATTCTGGAGAAATTATGGGATAAATATAATTTTGTGCCTGTATTCTTAATGATTGTTGAACACTTTATAATGTCATTGATACAGTGTGCTAGGTATATACAAATTATAGAGGTGTCACTTATACCCGACTTTGTTCCAATCCACGGAATTATGCCCTCGGAACGGAACACGGAACACAAATTGAGAATTTCGGTTCGGTTCCGGAACAAGAACATTTTACCCTTTTACAACTTTTGGCCCTTAAATCGCCACAAAACAGCATTTTTCTTTCAATATTTTGCACCAAAAGAGGTTTTGAAGAGCTTTTCGCTTCCAAATTGACCTAGATGATCAACTTATTTTAATCTTATACACACAGTCACTCTGTTCTGAACCGTTCCGAAATTGTTCCGTTCCGAAGCAAAATGTTCCGAACCGAACCGTTCCGATTTTATTTTTGTTCCGTGACATTTCTAACATATTATATGACTCATGTATTAGGTAAATTGTTTCAAATGATTATTAGTGTCCAACAGAAAAACAACATGATGCAGTTTTCACTCTCCATAGACTGCAACCTCACACAATGTTAGAATATTTGTGTCTTGTAGTTGAACCCTTACATAGCGCCCAATAAGGTTTGGAGGACAGTAGAACATTTGCCAGTCCATGTTTTGTCCTTCAAGGATGATTGGTCTATGGTAACATAGTAGCCAGTTAACATCATCTGTGCTCACTTCAATTTTGAAGTTTGCCAGTCTGTCTGAAAATAAACCAAAATTGTCTGGAATGAAAAAGTTGATTTCGGAATTAAAGTGGTGAACTTAAAGTGAGATGAAGGTACTTACATCTTATCAAGAAACTATGTGTGGTAAAAAATATGTATATGGAGATCGGTGGCTAAAATGTATATAGTTAATGAATTAAGGATGACGAGTTGATGCTTTCTTCGTCAAGATCATTCTAAAGGATTCTATTCTATCAATAGTTGTCAAAAGCCGCAAATTACAATAGGAATTAACAAAAACTAGATCGTATTCAGCAATAATTTTTCAAATTCTCAAACCGGAAGTCAGCGATCAACTTTCATGGTATTTAGTTTTTGGGGGGAGGGGGGGGGGTAGGAGTCAAAACTAGATTTATTTAGTTTCCAATCCGACATTGAACTTTTGATGCCTCCCCTAAGTGAAGCCTATTTATAACAGCTTTTGTCTTACAAAAGCATTGATTATCAATGATAATCAGCCCTCGAAAGTTCTAACCTCTGTAGCGAGTGTCTATTCTGTTGACCAACTTCACAGATCTTATCTTGTATTCTGCTTCTAAGTCAACCTTCCACCATGGCCTGTATTCATTATTTGTATGTGTACAAGAACCATGTGCAACATCAGGGTCTTCATTTCCATCAACTGCTACATAAGCTTTCCACCTATAGGGATTCCCTGACCAATCTGATGATTGTGCTGCAGGTTTGTGCAAAGCAACATTTTCTGAAACATTTTGAAAGGTGTAACTTTTGGAACACTAAATACAGAATTAGAAAGGTGTTATACCAAGTAAACAAGACCTGAAATTCACTAGAATCACAAAATATACATGTTCATATATGTAAAAATGGACGTGAATTATACTTCAGAAAATATTTTTTCTGAAATTTTTATAAAAATGTGTTCATGACATACCAAAAGTTTGAAATCTCTTATATTATTTTAGATGCAAAGAAACTATTGTTCTATTTTGACTGCGTTTTATGCACCATTCAAAAGTTTACGTGAGACCACCCCCCACACAGGTATGGATAGGGAATTTGACCAAAAAAATTTGGCCTGTCTAATTCCTTCCCCTGGGGCCAGATAAATGTTTCATTTTCCCCACCCTGGGGGAAATAAATCTGGTCAAATATTCCTGACCCCAGGCCCTCTTCCCGAATTTACACTTTTTAAACATTTTAAACAATTATTTTGTATAGAATGGGCAGGTGAATTGTTGAGTTTGACGAGTATAAATCCACATCAAACTCGTTTTCAAAACTACGCTACATAGTAATTTATACAATGACATATTTTATGATCTCTATATATGGTAAACCATATTGGCTATTTATATTAATGAGTTACCTCCCTCTGTATTATTTATATACTATATCTAGTATATTAAACCATGACAAGGCTATGAATACCAAGTAGAACATGGATGTGCAACTTTTTTCGGAGGGAGGGAGAGAACAAGCTTGACAAGCCAATACTTAAGACAGGAAGTTGTTACCGCTCAGTATCATTCTAGAAATCCTCTCCAGTGATTATTCTCAGCAATTTCACTCCTGAAACTGTACCCAACATGTAGAGGAGTTTATTTTCATCTGTTCTCGACATGAGAGATCTTTAGTTCAATGAATTTACCGATTATTTGCAAATCATAGTTTCCTAAAGTGTATACTGGACGAAACAAATCCAGTCAAAATCCCTACTCCGGGGCACATGCAAATCAAATTCCTCACTCCCAGGACAAAATTCTCCCCTACCCCTGGGGCAATATTGCATTTCAAATTCTCATGCAAATGAATGGTGCATTATACTCACGTAAAGGTTTGGGTTGTTCCAAATACGGCTGACAAGTCACAGCATTTAGAGTGAAAATGACTGCCAGTATAATCTGCATTATCAAAAATAAGAAGCCAGTGTTTATTGTTTTCTTCTATCACACTTATTTGTTGCTTATTTACATCACTTTGTAGAGTAAAAAAGATGTATTTTCTTTTGCTTTTAAGTTAAAACATTAAATTAACATCAATATTTCAATTATTGTGTTGACATTCAATTACAAATAAAAGCACTTATGGAATTATTAAAATCAGTAGGTCGAACAGAATATGTCAAGTCAAGTCACTCTTTCTAATATACCTTTGGTGGGAAGTTTTTCATGAAATCCTGATGATAAATGCACAATTTTTGATTGACACATATTAAGCAAAAATATTTCACTTTAGGTAGAAAAATGTTCATGCAAGTTCTGCTTTACATAATTTGTTACTATACAATTTCTACAATTTTGGCGACAGGGTCTCGTTACTTGGAAAATATTTGTGTTTTTCAGAGTAACTCATTTTCATATAAAAGAGCCTTCGAGGGTTTGGTAATAAACATGTGAGATGCTGTATCACTAAATAGATTATACTGATCAAAAATTTTAGTAACTAATAGAAACAGCATGTCAAAGTTCTTCACCAAACCTTCCTATTCTCTTTGTAGGTATCAAAGATTATATTAGTCCAAAATGGAAGGGATAATATTTTTTTTATTGTAGGTATTATTTATTTTATTATTTTAGGTATGATATTGTCGTCAACTTGTTTTATAATTATTCGAAAAAGATAAATCCTGATATATTCTGTTCAGGCTACTACACAAGAAATATTGCGCAAAATGACATAAACAATTGTCCTTTTGTTTTAGAACATTTTTACTGTAATAAAAAATAGGTGCATGTTTTCTTATACAAGCATATTCACGGGGTACCAACTATACGGGATGTATCAAAACCACTACGTCCTGCAAAACCGTTAATTGAATTTTAAACCTACCAGGTGTTTTAAAATCAAGGATTGTGAGTCCCATACTGCATGCACCTTTTTTATTCAAACTTATGCAATTAAAAGCAAAACAAAAATGCCTCTCTGTCGATGCATGTACAAAGTTCTTCGTTCTAGCTGCATTTTGGTCCCCAGCTGTGAGATCAAGCAAATTTTCATAGCTTTCAACTAGCTATCTCGCCATTTTCGCCCATATATTCAGAATGGACCCCCATTTCAACCCTGTTAAAAGCCGCAAATTACTTTATGTTTTGGCATTAAACGCAGCAGTTTCGAAATCACCTGCGCATCTCTTCAAAATTGACCAATAATAAGTCCTGTTGTCTTCCACGTCGTCTTTGTAGTCATATACTCGATGGGGCGTAGTTATATCCTGTGATTTGAATTAATAGTTACCAAAGAAGCATTTGCAAGTGCTAATCACCATGAGGGCTAAACTAATATTAGAGTTTCAATATCATAGGCATGTAGCAGTAGCCAAAGGGGGCTCTTGAATGAGCCCAGTCCCCAGATTTCACTGAGGAACATTTTTCATTCACCTCATTAGGTTAATGGAGGTTAATGGACCAAATCTAAGTATTTCAAATAAAAAGTGCATGTACTTTATTTATTTGCAGATTCCTAATCATTTTGATTAATTACATTTCCTGAGCAAGCCTTGATATTTCAAATGAAATTTTACTATATTTGTTTGCAGATGGTATGGACCATTGTTCTTGATTATTGCTCTGTTGTTCTTTGTCTACATATACATCATCGTCATGGTGAACCGTAGGGTGAGTACAACATTTACCAGATTTTTTCATTTCATTTAAAGCCCCCTTTCATAGCACCCTTATGGTTTATGGAATATATATTAAAATTTCAAAAAGCGCCAATGGGCTTTTATTCCAAAGTTTTTCAGTAATAGTACTGCTCAAACATTAAAACAAGTCACATGTAAAACTCCATTTTGCTATATTAAGTGCAATGTTCAACTCAAACTTTGTATTTAAAGATAACTTCATAATGTACCTTAATACCAACAAGCTGCAGTACAAATTTCCATCTATGGGTGATTTTGCACTAATTGTTAGCTGAATTGTTGAACAGTAATATATTGGTATCACTTTCTTATGATTTTATATTTTAACATGATTCACATCTTAGTGTATTCTGAGTACAGTAATTGTACAGTAATTCTATTTTCAAGTAAATATCCACTTAAAAAGAGTGCATTTTATTGTAAATCACCATTTAAATTACAATAACAGTGTTAAATGCAACCTTGCCTATTAACCGAGACATTATTGGTCTCTGATTAAAAGTGATACATGTATTTATATCAGGGGATCTATCATTTATCTGAAAACAGGCAAAATGATTGGAAAATTGATTTTAACATGAAATAGTTGCAAAATTCATCAAAACAATTGGTGATTTTGATAATGAAAACACCTGGAGAAAACCGTTGTTTTACATGATGCAAATGAAACCCCTGATTCTTGATATAGATTTTTTTATTATTATTATCTGAATATAATTGTTATTGTAGGTTAAGACCTGGGAAGGGACATATGATCCTGACACAGAGAGAAGTAAGGTATGGAATCTTTAGATGTAAAATGTATCAGAAGTGTAGTGAAAGGAATTAGAAGGGAATCTTGGGAAGGGACATATGATCCTGACACAGAGAGGAGTTAGGTATGGAATATTTTAAAGGGTACAATCCAGCAAACGTTTATCAATGCTTGAGAAAACTAATGTTGATTTTTCATTGAATCAACAGTGAGAAATAATTAGATAATAATTCGGTGTATAATTAGAGGAATAAGAAGGGATGGGGTGTTGAAGGCATTTTCAAAAATCATGCCAATGTTTTCTGTAAGATTCAAATTTTATTTTCTGAAAAGAATAAAGATATCTGATGAAATAAAGAAGTCATTTAGCATTAAGGATGCAAAATTGTCCAAAGTTCATAAGAATTGAAAAGAGACGTCCACCGTTTCAATTTTTTGCCAAATAACCTTAAAAGCTGAAGGAAGATTAAGACTACATGTACAAGCAAAACATTTAAAAAAAAGACAACATGGAATGATGAAAGCAATGGATGAATGGAAAATTAATCCATGCTTCAAATACTCAATATTGTTTTATTTTTGTTTATTTCTCTCTTTTCAGCAACTTCTTAAAGAAGACATCAAGCCCCTAAAAGGCTATCCTTTTGTATATCTTGCAGTTTCACTATTTCCACTAATCGACAGGTATGTGATCTTTTATTTATTTTGCAAAGGGTATGTACACGATGAAGATGTTCCAGATTTGTTAATAAAAACTCAGAATAAAATTCTGCGCTGAGGGTTGATGTGAAAAAGTCAGTCCACCCTAGTGGGGATTGAACCCACGACCCCTCGCTTTCTGGACGAGTGCTCTACCAGATTTTAGAGTATGATTTACAATGAAACCACTGAATGAACTTTGAATAGGAGTGTAGATTAGCCATCCATTTATTCATCTCTCTCTTTGTGTGATAATTCAAATACTGGTCGACAGATTTGATTCAATTGTATATATACTGATGCCTTATGGACTCTTATGGACATAAGAGCTCTCCTCATGGATTTTTTTTTCAAAATGTTATCTAAGATCAAAGTATTTCTGTAGTTGAAAAATGTAATTTTATGTGTTTCAGAATCCAGAATGCTTTTAATCCAGAGCCAGTATTTGCCCTGATGCTGTTACATGTAATCTCATCTCCACTACATGGTAAGTGTTCATTTCCGCGTGGTAAGTGTTCATTTCCGCGTGGTAAGTGATCATTTCCACAGCCAGTTTTCCTCAAGGAGGGCTGGACTTTTTGTGTTTAAGGGGCAGCTTTGACAAATTGTTTAAAACTTTGCCTTGTATACTTACCAGTTTGACTCTGAAATTGATTTTTTAGGATCTAGGTGGAAAGTGGGTACTTTAAATAACTTTAGAATAGTAAAAAACTGGTGTCATGAACTTAGCAATATGCCTGATTGCTTGTTGTGTCAATATTTACGTGTCCTACATGTTCATGTGTCCTATATGTTGATGTGTCAGTCTTCGTTTGTCCTACATGTTGATGTGTCGGTGTTCATGTGTCCTACATGTTGATGTGTCAGTGTCCATGTGTCCTACATGTTGATGTGTCAGTGTTCATGTGTCCTACATGTTGTGTTTTGTGTGTTTCACATTTTTTCTGTGTTTCAGGTGCCTTAAATGCAATAGTGTTTGGAATGGACAAAGAAACAATGAGCAAATTGACACCTTCTCAAATAAAGGTAAGTCAAAAGTTGTTTTAAATCCAAAATAAGAGTACAAAAGAATGCAAATAACATGGAATTAAGGAAACAGCCATGTTTACAAAACCTGATTGGAAATCATTATTTCTAGTAATTAATGAATTCACCTTTTGACTTTTTTACAAAAATTTTACAAAATTATATGGGAAAACTTCACACTTGGTGGCAGAGGTCACACCTAAAGGAGCCCCCCAAGGTAAACGCTGGTTCTGGGCTGTTGGAAGACTAGAGATACTAGAGATTTAAGATTCTAGAGATATATCATAATTTTGGAAAAACTCACATACCGTATTCGCTGTAAAAAGCGCCCAGGGTGCTTTTGAAATTGAAATTTCCATTGTAACCCATTACAAAGAGCGCCCATATATGAGAGAAGTCAAAAATCTCCGGGAATTTCATGTATGGGAATTTTTCTTGCCAAAAGCCCTTATTTGCTACGAAAGTGACAGCATATTTTTACAATAATGATATGTATAGTTATTGGATAGAATATGGTAAGATCACTTAAATAAAACAAGAATTTAACATTGATTGAAGAACTCCCCAGCAAAGCCCCTCGAAGTGAAGGAATTGTTTTCCACGATTATCTTCAATATTTCCGCAATAGACTGTTAGATCTTAAGTTATACCTTTTTTTTTTTAATTTGATGACAGATCATCATTTTTCGAGTAAAAGTTATGTAAAAGTCGAGAAATCTTAAAAAGAAACAAGAAAGTTCACGACCTTGACATGACCTTGACAATCGCTAGCTAGTAAAATGTCGAAACAAAACTCTGAAACGTGATCATTTCCTTCATTCATTATGGACTATATTGAGTTTACTATGATGTGGGAAGCACCCACTGATAGATATTTATCAGGAGGATGCATCGAATTATAAAATGTGTCATGTTTTTTGCATTTTAGTGTAAGTACTCTATTATCGCCCACTATATTTCTTTGGAAATTTGATTTTTTTTCTGATATATTCGTTAATACTTGGTCATTCCTCGATATTTCTTGATCTCTGTGAAGCGGGTGGGCGCTTATTAGGGGTGGGCCCTTATTACAGCGATTACGGTATTTGCCTCGTTCTCTTAACATCACCATGTAAAAATTCCATTTGGTTTTATTAGAGTCCATTTTACTGCTTCATTTCGTCAGTAGAACGGCAAAAATAAGAAATTGGGAGACCATTGTGCAATAATATATGGAAAAGTATATTCATAATGTACATGAATGACATTTGTATATCTTGGATTGCTTCTAGTTTGGCTTATAAAGTGTATGGCCTCTTATATTTGGATGTTTCTCTGCCATGTTATTTTCAATAAGATTAACATGGCTGAAATTCTTCAAATTACAGGACGGCACAGGCTTATTGCACAAAAAACTAAAAAATCTGAAATATACAAATGTCATTCATGTACATTATGAATATACTTTTCCATATATTATTGCACAATGGTCTCCCAATTTCTTATTTTTGCCGTTCTACTGACGAAATGAAGCAGTGAAATGGACTCTAGCTCTTTGTGTCCTAAAATGATTTTCTTTTGATTCTCTTTTATAGGTTTTAGAAAATAATGATATTTTTTTCTTTAAAGGTGGCGATTAAATCACATTTACAGCGTAATGAGATTCTCGAGTATCCAGTTGTGATTCGTCAAGCTGATGGATCATTGACGCCTGTGTCATCTTTACCCGATGGCAGTGCGTTTGATAAATTCAACAGTGTCTCATACTCTAGACTGCACTAACTCCTAAATGGGTCCTGTCCTATTATTTATGAATACTCTATGATATTTGTGTTTGCTTATGAGTGAGCCATAATGTGTTATAGAGGTGCAGTGGAACAGTGAAAAAACATGGTTGTATTAATTTTTATCTCATAAGAAAATGTGTCTATATCGAGTCATATAAATGAAGGGTAAATTAATTCACATTTTTGCTGACAATTTGGATGATTTACTTAAGATTAAGAAAGATAGATTTATGCACGAAAGATGGTCCAAATTGTCAGGGAAAAAAACATACTGATTTTTGGTGGTTTTACTTGACTTTTTCGGGTGCTCAACAAGTAAACCTACTGTGTCAGAAAATATTTTGTTGAGCGATGTCTGAATCCTTCTTTTGTATTTCATAAATTTGATGTTTAGTTTTATTCCTTGTATTTTGTGCTCCAAAAATTCTGTTCTTGATACCTTAAGTGCCTTTATTTTCTTGATTTCAAATGAATAATTCCATGCATCTGATTGGTTAATTTTGTGGTTGTTAGTTTAGGTTATTGAAAATGTCTCCTGCATGGTATTTGTTGTAATTTTTCTCATTTCTTTGTGACATCATGGTTGGGGGAGCAGTACTTCTCCTGATTTCTCCAAAAGGAGAAGTCTGAAGGTTATTAGATTTCTAAATAGATCTCTAAATGTTTTCATTGTTTTGGGTATGATTGCCTTTAACATTTTTTATTTTAATTTTTTTATTTAATCATAACATTTAGATGCATTTTGTAGGACAGTTGCCTGCCAGATTTGCCTGAATTGGGATGTGCACATTTTTATTTTGTATTGTTTATGAAATGTATTTTCATTTTCTTGTCCCTGGAGAGATCATGCTTGTTTGAAGATTATTTCAGCCCATGCTTATTTTGGGTGAAGGATCTATCAATGTACACATGTGAAATGACCTTCAATAACTAGTCGCTACTACAGTATCAGCTGTTGTGGCTAGCCTTTATGGCTCAGGGGTAGAGCCTCTGAGAGCGGAAGGTCCTGGGTTTGATTCCCGTACAGGGCATTGAATTTAGCACACGAGTATCTGGCTTGGTACACTACAGCTCTCCGACGGACGTGCCCAAGGGTCGTTACACATGTAAAGCAGAAGATATTCAGGTGTACTTGATTGACCCTTCCCCCCTTTTTCATTGTAGAGAAAATAATGTATGTATGCATGACTAGTGATTTTCAAGTTATGGCTTGGTAATGTAGTGTTGTAGTTATGTTATGTTGAGCTTCATATTTTCACCTCCAGGTGGCAGTGTTAAATCGTACAGCGGGGGCTGCCCTTATAAGGGAATATCCAACGGGAGCATCAGGTAATCACCCAACCGAAGCCGAACAATGACAACTACTCGCTCCTGATCATGTGACCATTAACGAAGAGGATATTTTATTAATAGATTGATCGAAATATAATATTGAATTTATTGTGTACGAGTATATAACATTTGATTATATACATGGCTTTAACATATACACTCCCCTCCATAAGTTTGGCAATAAACATATACATGTATACTTCAAAATTAGTGCCAGTAAGGACAACCATTAGTTTTTATTTATGGACTTCGCCTTTAAGCTTGAGTGTTGAAGAAAATATTTTGAGTTATGATGATGGAGAAAAAAATACATATACCCTGGGTTCAGCTTGAAGTGGTGAATCCTTTCTGGATCTTTAAAACTTTTTGAACACTCATTTGATGTACAGTATGATACATGTTCATGCCATATATGGGTATAGTTTGAACTGATTCTAATAAATAAAGCATGAATGTGTTCCGTAAAATTTTACTTACATGTACAGGCAAACAATGCAATTTCATAAGGGTTAAGTCCATGTAATATCAAATGGTTTGCGTCCTAATTCAAATTCTAACAAATTCAAAATATACGAGTATGTGCATTTGGCACATAACCAGATGCCTCGTATAATATGTACATGTATATAGCTGGTTCCTTATATATTATATATATGATACACATTTTGGTGGTTCTTTTGGCATAATTGAAAAATAGGACAGGGTGCATCAAATTTTATATTTACATTAAAAACAATTTATTTAGGTTGATTTAATGAGATTAAAGAAATCCTTTGAATACAGAATGATCAGGAGTGTAATGTGTTGAATTTAAAAAAGATTATAAAACAGGAAAACAATGTGCTGAATTTCACAAGAATTGGGTTATTACAGCATAACACTTCCAGTGAGTAAAGGTTGTGCTCAGCATTAAGGGTTGTGACCAGTTTAGGGTTGTGTGCAGAATTTAAGGTTGTAAATAAGGTTGGATTAATCTTGCCGAAGCAGAATCAAATATTTTTGTAGTATGTATGTTATATTATTTCAAATATTGTAAAGTAAAGTATTTTTGTTACATAAAACATGTGCATTTTGGTGTATATTATGCATATATTATGTATTGTGAAGTCACTTCACGTTTGTTGTGCTTTGTTTATGCAGCATCATTTAGCATGAGAAATACAGTTAACCTCTTGAGTACTCAGTCATAGAATTTCTCAATATAATGGCTCTTTGACAAATTTTGTTCAGTTTGCACAAAATATTTACTAAAATGTGTTATTTTTCTGTGTTAGTAACATTACCAATTGAACATGAAACATTGTCTTTCAAGAAAAGGAAGCTAAAATGATATATCCTGTGGCATGAAGTTAACCTCTGGACTCTCCAGAGATTTCTCGTCACCTCGCAAATGACCTTGAAACCTAGAGTGACAAGATAATTGCTACAAAATATTTCACTAAAATTGTGAAGAAACGATCTCTGTCATTTAATTTTGCTAAAATGAGCATCATCTGTTTTATATGTATCTAGTAAAATATCAAACATGTCAAAAGCTGGCAAAAATGAAAAATCCTTTTGGTTTCAACCGATTTTGAGCCTTGGATTCTAGATTCAAGAGGTTAACGGTTGCTTATTTTTAATGCATTATGCATGACAGTTTATCTCATGATTAAAGTTAGTTTCTGTTTATCTTTGTGTCAGATTTACTTTGTTGTTTAATCTTTTCTCTCAAATTGAACAAAAGGACAGACATATTTTAGTCACATTACCAAATAGTAACATCATTTTTAACAGGCATGATGCAGATTTAACCAAAAGTTTTTGAAGATGTTTCAAACTATACATGATTTTTCTGTCACCACTTATTGTTATTGTATCCAGCTTTTTGTGGACAGTGGTTGGTGTTTGGCAGTTGGTGTTTGGCACTCAGAGTTCAGCGTCTGTAACAAATGATTACCAATTTGTAACTTCAGGTGCAGATGATGTAGACAAAAAAGTTTATGTAAATAGTATCGGTTATGTTTTTGAACATTTGGAAAAAATAAATGACCTGTTAATTTGTTCCTGGATAATAAAAGCAATTTTGTTCTATAGTTTTGAAGATGTTTCAAACTATACATGATTTTTCTGTCACCACTTATTGTTATTGTATCCAGCTTTTTGTGGACAGTGGTTGGTGTTTGGCACTCAGCGTCTGTAACAAATGACATGGTGTCTGAAACAAATGGCATGTTAATACTTTGTTAATGTGGTCCTATATGATAAGATATTTGTTTACCCATCTTATAATAATGGATGAAATTAATGTGTCAAAACCTGGAGTACAGACTTGTATAATGTCACCACTTCCTAATTATGTCACCACTTCCTTATTATGTCACCACCAGGAAGCAGTGACATATTGTTATTACCAGCGCTCTTTGTTCTGACTGGTGGTGGATGACAGATACCAGGTAGAAATCCACATCTGTGACAGACTGTTACAAACATTTTGTAACGATTTACCAGATGGTTACATTTTGATATGTTGTTTTATAGCAAAGTGGCTTGAAGAAAAAATGAGAAAACATAACATCACGAATGAATGTTAACATTGTAGAAAATCATCAGCATTATAACATATAAAGCATCATCCTGATATATGTGAGAATATTTAAAATTCTTTGATTATGACCAATCAAAATTATTTCATCTTAATAAACGTTGATATCTGATATCGATAAAACAGTGAACAAAATAAAATGGTTTTAGTGGGAAATTCATAGTAATTTCGTTGTGATAAAAATGCATTTCTATTCACTTGAAAAGCATTTTGACAGGTGCAATTTTGAACCCCGAATACTTAAACGTTCGTCTATGTATTATAGTGTACCATAATGGATATATATTGTGATGTATTTATAATGTAGACACTACTAGATGTTTATTGAACAATAAAAATGACCATAAAATGTATACAATTACTTTGTTTATTTATGTTTTATTTATCATTACCTTAATATTTTTTCACAGGATTTTGTTGAAATTGGTGAAAAATTCTTATTTTATTGTTTCTGGTTATAAGGAATTCACCAAAATTCATGATAGATACTTCAGTAAAACCTGACCTGATCCTAATGTTATGTGAATTTTCCAAAAGTGTTTGGATTTGCAGGTGTTCAAATTCTGAGGATTTTTAACATGGAAGTCTGTCGCAGATTAAGAAAAATTGGATTGAAAGAAGCACCTACATTAAGAGATGCTAAAATTGGGAAAGTTGTTCACTGTTCAGATGTAGGTTTTACTGTACAACACCAACTTTTTCTGAACTGACTTTTAATTCATTTCCTAGACTTTGTTGCCCCTATAATTAATAATTAAATTGACAATCAGGATATTATAAAGGGACATTAGGGAGTTTAAGCTTGCATATAAAATCAAAATGCCAGCCTATACGTATGACCAATCGTCGTACAAATGCATCGCTTAAATATTTTCCGTTCACATTTAGGTTGTGAAAGAAATTGCAAGCTTAAACTTATATTGGTAAACGAGGTACCCTTTTTTCAGTCACACTGGTCTACAAAAAAGTTGAAATCTTGAATATTTCATGGTTATGTTTTTCTAAAAATATAATAAAATCATGGCTACGAGTGATACTTTGGAAATGTGTGAGTCCTTCAGCATTCCTTGCGCTCCAATGTTCTCCTTGTCTCCTTATGTTAAATTTTACATATTCCTTGTGTAGTTCACTAATTTCTCGTGTTATTTGACATATTTAGACATAAACTTTTTATGGAATTCAGATCGAAGAGTGTCATTTATAAATTGTTTGTCTTTTTTATCGTCATCTCTTGCACAGTTTTTAAAAACGACATCATCATCCCACCTGAAAAGAAGATTTAGAATTAATTATCATGGATGTTAGGTTTTGAAATATAAAAAGAGTGGAATCAGCAAGGAATAAAGTAAACAGGCATGTAGCCATAGAATATACTGTAGAACAAGAATGTTTAAAATGCTTTAAATAAAAAAATATTGCAGTCAACTTTTGAGATTCAAAATAGAGAGGAAAAAACAAAAAACAAGCAGGGAATAAAGTAGACACACAGAGGGCATTCTAAATACAGAAATATATTGTAAATACAAGAACAAAATGCTATCTATGTTCATCAACTGATACAAACAAACAAACCACTACTTGCCTTCTTTTTACTTTGAATTCAGCTGCTGGGGAGTCATTAAGTAATGGGTTACCACGTAAGATATTGTCTGTTCGAATCTGTTCCGCTTCTGCCTTTGCTTCTTGTTCCTAAAGTCAAAGTCATAACATAATACAATACATCAATTCAGAGGTGGACATGTTTTCAAATCCAAAATAGAGGGGAAAAGAGTAAATTAGCAAGGAACACTCTTAACTTCTATTTCACTTTTTAGTATCAATTGAACAAAAATTCAGAATAAATATTTTTTCCTAAAGATTGGTGAGACAGGTGCCTCACCTGCCAGTGCCTTGCTATGCCACATAATTTATTTACCTTTCTTATAACCTCTGCTGCTCTTTCCTTCTTAATTTTGCTCAGTTCTGCCAGTAGTTCAGCAGTGTCATCTTCGTCATCGTCGTCATCATCTGAGCTGGCATCAGAATCATCCTAAAAGCAGAAAACATGTATTTTTATTGTAAGATCTGTAAAAAGAAGACCTCTGATTGGTCAGTTCTTGTGCTGTACCAATCTGTATTGCTACTGAGACTTCGTCTCGTGCCAATACAGAATTTCTCGAGCACAATATATCCTGTACTGCACTTCAAATCATTCAATAACACATAGTATTGCATTTAGGCTTTTCGATTTAGAGAGAGAGTATTAATAAACGAGGAAAGTATAAATAAACTCACGTCGTCCAACGGATCATCTGCGTCAAGGTTTGAGGCAGGAATCTGGTCAAGCCTTGGTTTCTTTGTGCTTGTGCTACTTCCACTTGAGCTACTTTCTACAATAAAATACATTTTTAAATGTAAAGTTTAATATTCTAACTAAAGACAAAATTGAGTACACTTTAACATATAATTCAAAGTGTTTTAACTGAGGCACAGGACCGTACTTTCCCATCCTCTTGTTTTACGTCAATCAAAAAGCCAAAAGAATCTTCATTCAACCAAAATGATATATACCCTTTTGATCTTAAAATAGCTAGATTTGACTGAAAATGTAATTGTGATAGTTTCCCAAAATATCCAGGGTTTTGTATATTTTCATCAAAATTTTGCCAATCAACCTCACACAGTGCAATGATTATCCTGATGAGTGCTAGAGTATTCCAAACAGTTCCATTATATTCAGAGCTGAAACCTTGAGAACAGTTGGTTGAATGACAATCTATAGAGCAGTCGAAAACAAATTTTTACCTCCTCCACGTCCACGATCTCTCTTCTCTCGAGCTACTCGCTCCCGTTCTTCAAGATCCTTTCTGAAGTCACGTCCTCTAAGCTCCTCCCTTGTGTATTGGCCTTCTTGTCTGTAATTTTAGAAATCTAGTTAATGACATCTATTAAAAACTGATGAGACCTTATTATTGCAACTTACAATAGCAATAACACCAGGATAAGAATTAGACTGAAGAATTACAACATACAAAGGTTTATTTGAAAATTGTGTTATTTGAATTACTAGGTACCAGCTCTGCAGAGTTAAAGTAACTGGGTACTACCTCCATTTTACAATTAGGCTCTAATTGAAAACTTCTTTCAACTTATGTTGATTATAATATTTTTGAACCCAGTAGAGATTTTTGAAAAAATATGCTTGATATATCTATGTAAGATTTTAACATCTTTTGAGCCAACTTCTATATTTTTTGTACTAAAGATAAAACATTGGGAGAGATTTGGAAAGGATTTTCTGTAAGCATATGGTGAATGCATTTCTAAATCCTGTACTCGGTTTCACCAACAAAATAATAAGAAACAAATATTATGACCCATTACCTGTATTTGAGTTTGGTATGTGCAGGTAGATCTCTACTAGAGTACTGTTTGGACATAGCACTCAAATCCCCCTCTCCCTTTCCAGTCCCTCCACGGGCCGGCTCAAATGTTGGTCGGGCCGCAGTTGTCATCTTGGCTCACCTCTGATGTATCACACTTTGCAAATAGCTGTAAATAAAAATATAAAAGTGTGAATTTCGATGCGATTTAACCTGTTAATTCTGCATTTGGACTGCCATTTTTATCAGTATTATCAGAAACACAAATTCCATTGAACGAAAATAAGGACTAGAAGTTTTCACTACACTACACAGTAGTTTTCACTGACAGATCAATGCTAGGCAATCCCAGTCCTTTTGGCTCTACAGCCATAGCATATACAGAGGGACTTTTAGCTGACCTGGTATGTTTGAATTATCCCATCTCAGCAAAAGGGAACGACTTTATAGCCGAAATCCGTACTTTGCTGCTCGGTCTTAACTTCCTACAGGAAGTAAACACTAGCTAGCCAAAACATATAGCTCTCCTATAGCAGCTAGTTTAGCAGAACAACTTGAGATAAATTCCACCTCTATCATAAAAAGCGAGGCTTATAACATAATAATAAGTTTAAAAATCCATTAAGAACAAATGGCAAATGCAAAATTCTAACTCCGAAGGTTCGGGCCATACAACAGGTTATTACGAAGGCTGGACCATACAACCCTTTAGACTCTTCCAATCACAAGATATCCTGCATTATCAACCAAGTAATCAATTGACACAACACACCCAACTCAATAGCCACCAAGCCAAAATAAACCCAAACCTCTGAGTGAAACCTCTGAGTACTATGGTAAGCCTGAAACTGTAGAATTCAAGCCAAATGAAGCAAATGGGCTTCCCCTAGATCTAGAATAGTCTCACGGGGTACCATCGAATAATTTTGGCAACGTACCGGAGAACGACATTTTACTAAGAAATGGCAATAATTTAGCACAATATATTTTTTAACTAGAGTTCTATTTTGATTTTGACAATAGTAAGTATTCCATGCAATAACTATTTCATTCATGAGTTTGTAGGAATTCTGTTGGAACCCAGTTCTGATCAAGTACGAAGTTATTGAAATCGGCGCAGTCGGACTTTACTCCGAAAGATGGTTTTTCGATTATAACTTTTTACAACATTTAAGTATAGACTTTTGAAAAAAGTACAGAATAGTCCTTATACTATTGAATAATTCTATTATTTCTGATTCACACGACTCTGATTTGTTTAATTAAAAAAAAGTTTTAAAAATATTACTTAGGAACGTAACCGGAGCTGGGAACGTAACCGGAGCAGATCAGTTGAATTATATAATTTAAAAAAATAAAATATATGATTGAAAGCATATATATTATTTACAAACACATATGAATGTTAAAATGAGCATTTATTACCCTTCACTTACAGGAAAATCAATGCATGGCAATAAGTATAAATTAGAAATTAGTATAACAGAGTGGGTTCTAATAGTTCGCTGAACAAATACAATGGGTGAAATCAAATGGAATTATTTGCTTACTACATTTAATCACTTCATTCTCCATGCAATGATTGTTCTATGTTTGATAGCCTTTCTAAGGTAATTGCACTTGTGCATGGTAAATACCAAATTTAATTTTTCACAATGGATAAATTTTTTCTTTAAATAAAATGTAATAAATACGCATTCTAACAATCCCGTATGTTTTTAAATTAGTATATGTGCTTTAAATCATATATTTTAATTGTTTTGATTAAATAATTCAACTGATCTGCTCCGGTTACGTTCCCAGCTCCGGTTACGTTCCTAAGTAATATTTTTAAAACTTTTTTTCTAATTAAACAAATCAGAGTCGTGTGAATCAGAATTAACAGAATTATTCAATAGTATAAGGACTATTCTGTACTTTTTTCAAAAGTCTATACTTAAATATTGTAAAAAGTTATAATCGAAAAACCATCTTTCGGAGTAAAGTCCGTCTGCGCCGATTTCAATAACTTCGTACTTGATCAGAACTGGGTTCCAACAGAATTCCTACAGTTGGGGACATAAATAAATGACAGGTGGATTTGCTGAAGTGAGGATTTCCCATGTTAAAAATAAGAGAATTTACAATAGGCCATAAATCAGTGGATGAGATTATACAAAATGTAAAATATACAAATTTTAAGGGATATGTATCTTGACAATATTGGAAATTATGGGCTTTCAGACCACCATAATTAGGAAATGGTGATCGAAAATCGACCTGTCATTTATTTTTGTCCCCAACTGTACTAGTCATATAAATCCGACCATCGTATGCTTTATTTGTCATTATTTTTTGATAATTTGGATATTTATTTTTTGTTATTTTCTTGCATACTAGGGTCGTACACACTTCCCGGTTGTAAATTGAGGGAAATGCTTTCCTGGCCTGTTTAGGCAACCAAAATCACACAAATTATGTATTAGAATATGCTCTTCATCGATAATGTATTTAATCCTACCTTACACACGTCAAACGCTTGATAATTGAAGAAGTATAAGAATTTTTCTGGAAACAATTTTTTTCCCCATGTGTAGATGCATTCTGGGTAATGATTGTGTAAAAGTAAAACTCTAGGTGAAGCGAAAAACAAAATTACAATAAATAACAGCAGCCATATTGAGATCGAGATTTCAACTCGAAAGTTTATCATCGTCTTATGACAATTGAATCGCCTTCTCAGACACCAAGGAGGGTGAAGAAACCGAAAACAGATATGTTGGTAATAAATAATTACGATTTCGTTTTGGTTGCATGGTTTCACATTTAGACTGTATTCAGTGACCTTGAGTGACCTTGAGAACCATATTGGAAATTGGTTCAAACATATACGAAAATGATTACATTTCTTCAATTATCAAGTATTTCCTGTGTTTAAGGTAAGAGTTAATACATTCTAGTTGAAGCATTGGATCCATTATCGTATCAGTGTAACTTTTGTTGAGCATAGAGGGCAGAAAAGCATTTACCGCAATATACTAGGCTTAATATCCTCGACGCAAATGTTGAAAACAAAAATAAAAAACAAATAATCCAAATCGTCAAAAAGAAACGTGAAACAACAACATTAAGTCGAGTTCACTTGACTACAACTGTACAAACTCATGAATGAAATAGTTATTGCATGGAATACTTACTATTGTCAAAATCAAAATAGAACTCTAGTTAAAAAATATATTGTGCTAAATTATTGCCATTTCTTAGTAAAATGACGTTCTCCGGTACGTTGCCAAAATTATTCGATGGTACCTGAGTCTAGACTACAATACAACCACACGACTGATTTTTTGAGAATAGAAAATGTCTTCAATCTGCAAATTGTAACTTATCTATTGGAAAGATGATTACCTAATATGGTTCCCTTCAAAGCAATGGTCCCGAAGTATCGCCTCCTATTAAATTGGCCTTTAGAATGAATCCTAAGATAGCTAAAACAATGAAAACATGAGATAAAGTAAATCTTTCTGTTTTGTCCAAGGAGGATTGGCTCCCAGGATCGAAACTCGATATTTTCCAACAATGAAAACGTCGAAATGTCGTTATTTTCTGAAATTAAAACCGACTATAAATTCAAAATAAACAGTTCAAAAGATTCGAACTAATATCTCGATCATTTCTTGTGAGTTTTGGAATTTTTCGTTTGGAAATAAGACCAAAATTCACGATTTAAATGTTGAAGTGAACAAAATGGCGGCTGTTTGAATTCGAATTTTGTATTACGACATACCCATATATGGGACAGAATATCGGTGGTGCACTCTGGGAGCCAATCCTCCTTGTGTTTTGTCCACCATTTATTTAGTCTCAATCCGAAACGCATTTTGAATCGTTGATGAGCAACCACAAATAAGTTATTAGTATTTTACAGTAGAATTATTGAGAATTTATTTATTGTGGAATTCTACATAAAAAAAATCTGTCATATCAATGAGTGTTTCCTTTTGACCGTGTTAAGAATTATTTGAATCACTTGGTCCATAATGGCTACAGCTCTGAGAGAGGTTAAAAAGCTCCATTTAGTGTACAATAAAACCTGCGTATAGTGAACATTTTATGCCAAGAATAAACGTTCAATGTTTGTAGGTGTTCACACCGAGAGGATAATTTATACAGGAAGTCAATAGAGTATGTGTGGGGACGGATGCCCACTAGTGACAGGTGTTAACCAGAGAGAGGTGTTCATCGAGACAGGTTCTACTGTATTTCAATTTCATCAACATCGATGAAAGAAGTCAAGAGGTCATCGAATGAAAGATTATGTGACTTTTGTAGTGTTAAAGACAATGAAATTCATTCGATGATTGATTGCCAAATATACCAAGAGAATAGGAAAATATTATTTCCATTGTACCGAAAGATGTTATACCTGTCCTGGAACGGGATAAGTTATACCAAATGTAAATATATATAATTACCAATGCACATTGTACTGAAAGGCTGTTCCCGGTGGGATCACTGTTGGCAGTGGGTTCTAAGGGATCCCATCATTTGTACAGACTAAGCTGTCTCTCCAAAGTCCATCCAGTTTTACATTTAAAGTTCTTTGAGAAAAAGGCAAACATTAACTCTGCTTGTATTTTGAACTTTTAGCTGGTCAGTGTGACCTTTTCAAAAGTTTGTTTTTATCACTCCTATCTAGCCAGCACACAGTTAACACTAAATAGTCCACTCAAATATTAGAATCCCATTCAATTTTCCATTTTTAAAGTAAAATTAGTATATTGCAAAAATATACTGATTTACAGTAGCCACAAATAAGTATGTGGTGCGTCATGAATATTTGGATAATGAAACGTTTTGGTTAAGAGACTATTTGTAATGAGAAGAAAGTAAGAGAAAGTTGAACTCTTCGATATTCGTGGAGTTTACCATCAAATATGAGCTCAAAACCGATCATTTTAGCGATAATCATATCGTGCTGTATATGGAGTATAGGACATGCGCATCTGAATCTCTACATGAGCGAGAAGGAGACCAGGGCACTGTTGGGTAAGTGGATTCATTTTCTTCAAAAGCTTTCAATTTTTAGGTTCTTCAATTTCAAGGATTTTGACAAGTGTAGATCGTTATCAGGTATTTTCGTTGTTAGAGATTGACATTTTCTCATTTTTGAATGGGTTACTCACATGTGTCTCTGAACTGTCCAATTCTTGAACTCCCATTGCCTGTCCACTGTCAGGAACCTTATATCTGTTATGGTGTCATGAAAGTGTCGACAAATTCTATCACTGTTAAATTATATATCTGCTTTATATGGGCTTATTAGCCTTTTGCAGATTATTGACATAGACATAGACGGTAATCTTCGGCACTTTCCGTGAATGGGAAAATAAATTCCAGCATAAATTATTGTGTCCATTGTACCTTCCGATATCGAATAAGTAACACATCAGATTTACATTTATGAAGAGGTCAGTTACAAAAAGTCAAAAGTTTAAACTCAAGGTCTTTCAACAGATAATGTATTGTTTTAAATGTAACATTTTGTTAAACAGGGTGCGCAGTCCCTGAATTTAATGTTGCAGGGGCCTAGATTAGTTTAAATTGATTCGTTGTTCAAACTAGTCTATCAGCTATGACTTATATCAATATAATTTTTTTATAAATATTTGCATCAGAATCTAGGTGATAAAGAGATAACTATAGTTATCCTAGAAAAATTTCCAGTTGTCTATCTTAAAATAGAAGACAGGGAGGCAATGTCGTCTAGGTAGTTGTCAGACAAATGGCTGCGCTGAGTGTCTGAAAATTACCTACATGGACGACATTGCCTCCTCATCCTCTAGTTGCCTATTCACATCATGTCTCGGTGTCATACCACCCCATGCTATGGTTGCGTCTTATGATTGTTTGTAACTGATACCTGAAGTAAAACTTTTATTATTTATTGATTCTTTGTTGAAAATAATAAAGAGGATCAAAAATTCATTGAATTACCTAAAAACATATTTGCAGTAGAATAGCAGAAACTTTGAATTCATGAATTTTATCAGTTCAAATTGTTTGCGTAGCCTAACTGCTCCAAGTGCTATTCGGTCTACAGTGATAACTGTTTATTTTTGTAGGTTTGATAAATCTTTGATATTGGTCGGTTTGTGTTTTGAAATGAATAATTGTCTGTGTAATGTATGTTACTGTTTATGATTTTACATTGTCTGTAATTTATTATGGCTTTAAAGTTTTATAACAAAAATTGATCTCATGACAGTAATTACAGAACATTGTTTATAATATTATTTGATCAATTGCTATTTCTTCAAAAATGTTCTATGATGGAGATAGTTCTGGTATAATGCTTGTGATCTTCATTTTAGTGTATCTCGCACTGTAAACATTAATCTAATTGAATAAAAGAGAAGTAAAGATGAGTAATGAGCCAAAACTCAGTAGTGTATTTGGTTTGAGGCTAAACAGGAAAATATCTTCTAGACTCTATTCCCAACCTTTATAATGTAAAGTATCTAATCAGTATTGGTGAAAAAATAGGAAGCCATATTTCAAATTGTGGTATATCCAGAAAAAAACTTGCTTTATTTTTTCCTGATTGTTGCTTCTATCTTTATATGTATTATCATTTGATATATACAGCGAGTGGACGTTTTTCATTATGAGCATAGTTCATAGGAGACAGGTTAGCTTAAAGTAAGAAGTGATATCATAGGTGTGGTCACTGTCATCTTGTTCCTAAGGTTTACTTCATGATAAACATGTCAGATACTGAATAAATGGCTTCAACTAAATGGAATTACACTGTATATATCAATATCAAATATGTGAAAACATGCAATTGTTTTCAAAAGTTATCACTTATCCTTGGAGTAAAATTTAAATCTGGCTCAATATTATTGTTTATATCACAATAAAATTACAATGATCGGACTTATGGTATTTTTCAGTTTTATAAACTACTTATTAACTGCGAATGTTATTTTTCATTTATTGTAAAATCTCATCCTTGTTGGTTTCTTATATGTAAAAATGACCATTTTTATGAATTATTTCTTTGGTCATCTTTACATTCCAGTATCTCCGGAGATATGGCTTTTGTATACAGTTGACTTTATACAAAGAAGACAAGAGAATTATCTTAGCTAAAATAAACCTTTGTTCATGTTATGATAATTATAAGAATCATGTCAGATATTTTATCATTTTCAGAAAATGTCTGTCTGCTCATGGTTATTATTCCACTCTATTTCTCTCTAAAATTTGGATGAAGTGTCTGATTTTCTTGCATTTTTATACGATTTAGAGTGTTAACTACATGCCTGTTTACTTTATTCCTTGCTAATTCCACTCTTATTCAATCTATTTTCCATTTTAAAACATGGCCACCATGACATTTTTTCAAATTGATGATGAAGTCTGTCATCATTCCTTTGGTCATCATGAGTGTCAATGTTATCAGTGCTGGAGTCATTGACACTTTTTATTTTGTAAACATCTCTCATGGTCATGTTTTAGAATTCAAAATAGAGTATAAAAGAGGGGAATGAGCAAGGAATAAAGTAAACAGGCATGTAGTCAACACTCTAAATTGTATAGAAATGCAAGAAAATCAGGTAGTTCATTCAAATTTTAGAGAGAAATAAAGTGAAAGTGAAAGCTCCAGAGAGAAAATTCAGGTATTCAATACCTCAGGTCTATTTTGCCTGTTATCGCATATTTTAAAAGAGATGTCTTGAAGATATGTTTTGAGTGTTGAATAAATTCAAATGATGGATGAGCTAAATTCAGCTTTGATGTTCAGTTTTATGATAAAAGTATTTTTCACTTTTTACTCCATTTACATTTACAGGCATAAATATAGGGTTGGTACATTTGATGTAGTGATCTACACAGGATTTTTTATCAAGTATGTGCAAATTCTCTTTTCACAACTCAGACCAAAATCGGTCAAAATATGCCAATTTTTCATGATTTTTCTCATTTTCAAGTGGGTGCAAATGGATTTTTAGGTGGGTGCAAGCCTATTTTCAAAATTTCAGGTGGGTGTTGCACCCACTTACTTTAATGTTGGTGAGATCACTGTGATATAAAAAGTTGCGGTTGATGTTACTATTAATCTAATTTATATTACGTGTAATTTTTTATCTGGTATTATTCATTTAGAATCAAGTGCATTTCTAAATGCATCTGTGCAGATTCATCTGAAAAGTCAAAGTGCATTTCTAAATGCATCTGTGCAGATGCATCTGAAAAGTCAAAGTGCATTTCTAAATGCATTTGTGCAGATGCATCTGAAAAGTCAAAGTGCATTTCTAAATGCATCTGTGCAGATGCATCTGAAAAGTCAAAGTGCATTTCTAAATGCATCTGTTCAAATGCATCTGCAAAGTCAGTCAAATAAATTACATGATATGACATAAAATACTTCTGGGCAGGAGGGAAGAAACTTTATACTCAAAGATAAACTTTTCCAGTCAAATTCAATTAGAAACACATTTAACACTCAAAAGTCTTTTTAGTCGATTGTAAGGAATATCGGGATTAAACAAGGGAAAGATCAATACCCGGTGATTTCAGCGGGAAGTGGCGTTTCGTTCATTGGATGAGCTGCGCGCGCACGCATAAATGTGATTATCCAATATAATTAGGGGAGGGCTATTTGAAGTAGTTTTTGGTCTCAGGCGCGACCCAGGGCTGTTGTCTTAAGGACATTTCGTTGAAAATGAGCCATTCGGCTAATAATTGGTAAGAGTTTGCGATCTTATAATGTATAACTGTTACTCAGACACATATTTTGACACGATTCTGTTGGAAATAAGCTTTGAACCGAGAGATATTCACGATTGATATGCACATTTTTGATTGTGCCATTGCTTTTCTATTGCACAACCCATGTATTGATAGAAGAAACATTAATAATACAGATTGGTTTACCTTCAATACATGGCAGACACTACATATCGGTCTATTAATACCAGTTTGTGCCTTAAATAGTTTTATATTTCCATCCACGGCCTGGAGTCTGGGTGTGTTTGTCTCTTATGTGTATGCTTGTGCATGGACTTCTAATCACTAGCAGAATTTAAAGACTGAGAGCGGGTATAAAAGGCAGATGGAACAGCCCACAAAAGCCAAATATGGCAGTTTAAAGGTCCAGTTCAAACAAAATGAGAAAATTTTCAAACTTTCTGCTATAACAAGATTGTTATGATGAGTTACAAGCTCTTTTTTGTTACAGTGGTTCATGAATCTATAATGACTATAAATTTCAAATCAAATTCTGAAAATGTTGTTTAGTTTTTGTGAAATAAGACAATTTCTTTTTGTAAATATGCTCATTAGCATAACTGACAGTTTAAATTTCAGCCAATGGGCATCTCTTATCCGTCTAGAAGTAAACAAACATAGCATAAGGCTGTATCTCACTTGTAGCAGACCATGTGTTTCTGTTTATGCTGGACATTTAAACTGACTACATTAGCACTGATTGGCTGAGCTGTGACAGCTTGATTAATAGCTTCACCCGGGTCCAAATCTCTGGGCCTTTAACATGATGCAAACTCGACATTATAACTCATGCTGTAACATTTTGACTTCGCTGGAAAACAATATGAATTATTTTTCTTGCCAATCAATCATGAATCACAATCAAAATTTCAGAATGATCAATCAGGCAATGATCCAAATCAAGTTATAACATTATATGATATTCAGCAAGAAGTCCGGTAGAAATACAGAATATTTAAACATCAAAGCTGAAAGTTAAAAGCTAATCTGTCAATTTTCTGTCTGCAAAAGAGCGTCGCAAGAGCGTTTACATTTGACACAATAACAGACTGAGGCCTTGAAATCTAGGATTCCCCAGGAAAATATGACGTCATACTAATTAGCATAAGGATTTCCCTATTGGGGTGGGTCGAGCCTTGTTCGAAAACACAATCCATAAATACATGCTAATTTCTAAGGAGATAGGAAGTGTATAACGTGTTTATCGATTTTGTTTAAAGATTTAATCAATTATCAAATTGTTTAAGTGGATA